AGTCTTTATCACTTCCAAATACTGAAACTGAGATGTTAAGTTCAATGATTATGATTGAATGATTATTAAAGTAAACTGATTTATTTGAGATGGTGTTTCCACATGAGTCCAGCAGAGGGAGCAGTTAGCTGCAGGGTTGAAGCTGCTTCTGAGGGGGAAACAGGGAGCATCATAAAAAGGGAAGGACGGAGAGGGAGAGACAGAGACAGGGGTGGGGAATAAAGATGATGTGGGAGCTACATGGAAGGGAAACACCCTCAACCCTCATCTCACTGTGTGTAAAAAATGTCTCTACAGGACCGCCTGAAGGTCGCACGCTCAAACAGGAAGGACAAGCGGGATTCTCCTCCGTCTTCTCTCCGATCTTTTTGCTGTCCATCATTTTACAGCCCGTTCAGTCATTAATAATACACTCCAGTGAGGACTCAATAATCTAAATGCTGGGTTGTAAAATTACATCCCTCGACATCTTCCTGCAGAGCTGCAAACTGACGGCTCCACCTTGTGATGTAAGAGATTATGCAACACGTTTATGGACATTGTTAGAGGCAGAGGGCCCGTTGGGGAATTCATGCTCACTGAAGCGCTCTGTAAAACCAATTTTAATGTCTATCAAAAGGGTCTTCAAATACGCCCTTTAATCAAAACATGTTTTTATCAGAGAAATTCAATCAGCGCCGTCTGCTGTAACGAGAGTAATTGTACTGAGGTCGTTAAACTCATCAGTATATAGACTGCAGCTCAAAGGGAAATGTTAACCTTTTATGATTTTCTTATCTTTTAATTACAGCAGGGAGAAACAGCTGATGTAAACCAGGCGAAGGAAACAGGTCCTGCGAGACCTGGATTTATCTTCTTTTGAAAACGTTCTTCTGCTTGTTTGACTCGAGCTGGACAGACTGAATAATTGATGAATGGTTTGGTCCAGCCTTCGGTCTCGGACAGAAACTAGGTCAGAGGAAGTTTTCATGTCGAGTGAGTAACGAGTACGAGGACTTTTTTATTAGCTTCCAGTACCCTTTCCTGTCCTCCCTGTGTTACAATTTCTCTTGGCCATTCATAACAGTACCTAAAATTTAATGGCGCACTGCTTCATGGCTTGTAACCTTTTGTGGGCATTATGTACAGCTCAGTCATCGGATTTTTCCAAAGAGTAAGATCAAACTCACTCCCAAGACTCTGCAGTGCAAAGAAAATCAGTCTGTAAGGAGATTACAGTGACGCTGGTCTGCCTCTAAAAGGACATTATAAATTAGGAGTTTGGTAATGCAGAGATGCTTCTCCAATGCAGTATTTTTTTAATTATATACTATAGTTACTATATGTAAATGTATGTTGTACGAATCAGGATTCTCTTGTATTTTTCAACACCAGTGTTTTTGGACCCTCAAGACCAAACAGTTCTAAGTTTTGGGCGTGGTCATCATTATCTAATAATGGCTGCAGGTGTGGACTAACACTGTGTTCCAGTTACCTCTGAAGTCGGATGTCTGGGAATGACATTACACCTGAGTTGACGGCGTTCCAGTAAACAAGTCGAAAAACCAAGATGGACGCCTACTATTAGCCGTTTTTAGCTGATGTTAACAACAACGCATTACACAGTATTTTACTCTTACAAACATCATAGCACCGTGTTCACAGTTATAAGTGGTTTCACATATACCACTTATTTAATTTCACAAAAACAAAACAGAAGTGCTAATAAATAATACATTACAAGAGCTTTCACTGTTACTCTTTACTGTTGATGCACTGCACCGCCATCTTGGATTACGATGGGAAGCCGACGTCTGGGGGGCGTTCCAGATGGATTTCCGACTCGGCGCTCGGAAATCCTAACTTCTGATTACAACTGGAACGCAGCATAAGTGGAAATGGAACTGAAAAAGTTAGTAAAAACCATTCTTAAACCTGGTCCAGGCTCAGTACTGTGGTTTTTATTTGCTCTTTTCGCTCCTTTTTCGGTAACTGTTTGGGTTTTCGGGACTACAGCTTCACTGTCTTTGCTTACTCTTGTCATTAGGGAAGTAATTAGCTCACACACACCGCTTTGAACCTGTGCATGTGGGCAGTACCTCTGCGTTCATTCATATGTAGATGAGTCATTTCTTGTCTTTCTCTCTGATTGGATAACATATAATGAGCGGTTGGTTATGTGGAGTAGAACTGACAGAGGTCTTCTCATCAGCTCTGCTGCTGTTGCCTGGATTGCAGGACGAGATTTCGCTCAAGCTCCTCAGTAACCACGTTTACAAGGGCAAAATTTCTTGATCCGATTAAAAATTTGAGGGATCAACAAACAGCTAATACAGTGGTAAGAAGATCAAGTGGAAGTGAATCAGACCTCTGTTCTTGTTTTGTTGATGCTGTTAAGCTACTTTATGGACTCCTCCTCTCTCTCTCTCTCGCTCTCTTTCTTTCACCTTTATGTGATATCATTGTAAATCCCTCCCCTCTGCTCATCTGCTCATTCACATCACTCGCTATCCCTCCTTAAAATTTCATTGCACTGCCATGTCAGTGGGCCAAATGATTGCGCATGATACTGTTCTGGCCTTCTCAAAACAGCTGTTGGTTTTTTCAGGCTTTACTGCACCAGACGCCTCATGGCTGCCTGTGTGTAAATGTTAAAATGCCTCCATACGAGAATTCACTGAGCTGTGAAACAGAGAAATGCCCTGAAGGAGGGAAAAGTGCCCATAAAGGAAAGATGTTAGAGGATTTATGCGGCACATGATGATGCTCCCCAATAAAAAGTGAAATTTCTGCACACTTTCTTCATTTTAAGTGATCCAACCTCCACCATCTTTCACCGAAAGAGACTCCGAGGGTGTAGTTTGAAGACAATTTTACGTTCTCACTAATGGATGTGTGGGCTGAGCTCCTTTGTCTTCTATTATTAGTACAGTAGACACCCATTAATGTGATGTATGTGCAAGTTCAACAGCTGAACTGTTAAAGCAGCATGGAAGATATAATTGTGCAGTCATACCCTTTAAAACATTACCACAAATACTCTTAACTTCAGGATTAAGAAACATAGAATAAGTATGTTAAGAACAAACCTTAAGCTACTGTGAATGGTTAAAGTTAGGATAAATATCATTATGGGCATAATATCAATATTGGCAGATAATATATGGGAATACATCTCTCTATGGAGATATAACACTAAATATCTTTATTTGAATAAGAATACATTTATTATAGAATCAAGTAGGGCTGGGCGATATGGCCTCTTTTTTAGACGTCGCTCTGACATTTAGAATTTGGACGTCATCTGAAGACCAAATCTAGACGTCGGCACAATGTGAAAAATGGACCCAAGATTCAGACGTCATTATTGGACCCCTTTTAGACGTTGAAATGACGTCCACATTTGTACCTCATCGTCGAAAAAATACATTAAATATATGTCATTTCACGTCGCATTGCGCAGTGGGTAGCCCTGTTGAAATAAAAAAGGTAACAAATTAACACAGATATAAATTTACTTATGATTTATTAACAAATAACAAATTGTATATTAGTAGTGATGCACGATATGAAAAATTTCAACCGATACCGATAACCGATAATTTTCTTCTTCTCATGGCCGATACCGATACCGATAACCGATAAATTCATATTTTTACATTTATTATAATCTTCATATAATCTGCAGTTTGTGCAGGATGCAGCGATTGCAATAACAATAACAGAGCAAAAAGCAGAACTTCATTTGATCCCCTGAACTGTTCAACAGAACTGTAAACTGTAAAGGAGCTATTATGAGCCGTTAGGCTTAGCATGCTGACCGGACTAACATCTGACGTCCATATGTCTGTGGTAAAACTCACGTGTAGTCCGTTCTTGTTGATCAGGTTGTGAATGTATGTGGCGACAATATCATAGAGTGCAGGAAGAGACACATCCGAGAAGAAGCGGCGGCTTGGGAGAGTGTAACGTGGCTCCAAGTGTGCTATGAACTTGGGTCAATATCACTGTAGAGTGCCTTTGACCTTTCCCACTACTCACATATTTTGATCTTAATTTCTCATTCCTTTTATGTCTTTTCATAAATATTAGACATTAAAATGTTAGAAATGCATGTTAGCTAAGCTCCCACACATACTTTCACAAAATGATGGGCCCATTTTCAAAGAAAAACCCATAAGATATGTCCACCCTATCATGGACATCATGCCTGACTGTTAAATGTTTTAGTATTGCAACATTATGGTGAAAATGACATTTTCAGTAAGGTACAATGTCCCACTCTAAACAGGGTTATTTGTTTGCTTTCAAATTATGAATAAAATAACTATTTGATGTAAATAATTAGATTTTAAAGAAACAGATACAGTTGGCACATAATGTTTGTTTAATTTGGCAAAAATTATGACATTTTGATGCAAATTTTCACTTGCATATTATTGCCCCCCACTTAGCTATTGATCACAACAGAGAATAAATACAGATATTTCACATTATTATTGCATTATTATCAAAATATATCAAGATGACGGGGTGGACTTTTACATGACAGGGTGGACCAGCACACGACGGGGTGGACACAAAGAGCAGAGACACATGCAGAACACCACTGCATGACAGCAGCAGTAAAATATTAATTCACGTTTTTCTGTACCAAAACAAACCATAAACACAGAAACACTCTCAACTTCTTTCACATCACAAGTACCATCACAAACCTGGTGAGAAACTACTTCCAAGATCTGCAATTCTGTGTCAAAACAACAGAATATACAACATCATGGCAATCTTTGGAATTGGGAATAATGGCTGGATGCACCATTTCCCCACTAGCCTTCACTATGGCAATGGAAGTGATAATTCGAGCATCCAAATGGGTTGTGGGTGGAGAACGTCTGAAGTGTGGACAGCGTCCACCTCCCATTCGCGCTTACATGGATGACATGACCACCTGGACCTAAACCGTTGCATGCACCAAACATCTGCTAGGAAAGCTTCATGCCAACATCACATGGGCACGGATGAAGTTCAAGCCAAGCAAATCCAGGAGCATATCCATCGTCAAGGGGAAACTCACAGACCAGAGGTTCCACATCAAGGACACACCCATCCTGTTGGTGTCTGAACTGCCAGTCAAGAGCCTAGGGCGATTGTACAACGCACATCTCAAAGACTCAGACCAGAGTGATCAGCTGAGGGAAGAAACCATCAAAGCCCTTGTCAGCATAGACAAGACCTTGCTTCCTGGCAAGTTGAAACTGTGGTGCCTGCAGTTTGGATTGCTCCCCCACCTGATGTGGCCTCTTATGAGATCCCCATGACCAAAGTCGAGAAGCTGGAGAGAACAGTAAGTTCATACATCAAGAAGTGGCTTGGCCTCCTGTGTTGCCTCAGTAACATCGGCTTGTATGGACATGGTGCCCTGGAACTGCCCATCTCTAACCTCACAGAGGAGTTTAAGTGCACCAAGGTGAGGCTGAACATGAGCCTGACTGAGTCACAAGATGAGGTGATCCATGCAGCTGCTCCCAGACTGGCAACTGGGAGGAAATGGATCCCATCTGAGGCTGTACAGCAAGCCAAATCTGCTCTCAGGCATGGAGACATTGTGGGACAGGTGCAGCATGGAAGAGGTGGGTTTTGGACTTGGGACAAGTCAACCCACATGGCACAAAGCAACATCAACCCAGAGGAGAAAGCTGGTGATTGCTCAGGTTCGGCAACAAGAGGAGGCAAACAGATGCACGACAGCAGTGGCACAGTCCAAACAGGGACAGTGGACCAGCTGGGAAAACCTGGAGCATCGTATGCTCACATGGAAGGATCTTTGGGAAATGGAAGGAAGCCAAATCACCTTCATCATCAGAGCCACCTATGATGTTCTTCCCACACCCAAAAACCGAAACCAATGGTTTGGAGAAGATCCTTCTTGTGCACTCTGTCAAACACCTGCAACACTCAGTCACATCCTCACCGGCTGTAAAACCAGTTTGTCCTAAGGCCGCTACACCTGGAGACACAACCAGGTCCTAAGACAACATGTGACCACTCTGGAAGGAAGGAGAACAACCAACAATGCCCTCCCTCCCCCAATGCCTAGACGCTCAAACACCACCCCATTTGTAAGAGCAGGACAACTGCCGGCACAACCATTTGCAAGAGTGGAGGCAACCCTTCTAGACTCTGCCCGGGACTGGAGGATGCAGGTTGACCTAGACCAGAAATTCATCTTTCCGCCTGAGATCCTTCCAACTAGCCTCAGGCCGGACCTGGTCTTGTGGTCAACCACCCAGAAGGTTGTGTTTATCATCGAACTAACTGTACCATGGGAGGCAGCAGTTGGTGAAGCATATGAGCGCAAACGACTGAAGTATGCGGACATGGCAGCTGAGGCAGAGCAACGCGGCTGGAGTGCCCGGGTGCTTCCGGTTGAGGTCGAGTGTAGAGGCTTCGTTGCCACGTCCACAACCAAGCTTCTGAAGAGAATGGGAGTACAAGGACAGGCCTTCCGACGAGCCGTCAAATCACTATCAGAGGCTGCCGAACGAAGCTGCAGATGGCTCTGGATCAAGAGAAAGGACCCCACCTGGGCTGCAAAATGACCGCCCGGGGGTAAAAGCAGAGGGGGGCACACCTGTGACGCCAGGTGTCGCCGTTGAGCCCCCTGGAGGTGTCGTGGACCTATCAACGAAACACCAGTGAAGGTGGATGCCCACCTGAAGACCCCAGTGAAGCATTTACCCCCCCCCCCCACTCAATTCCAAGTGCTGATCAATCCAAGGGATTGTACTAACTAGTCCTATGAGCTCAACCAATTATTTGACAAATGAAATACAGTTGGAGACATTTATTTATTTGTTTATTTGTTTATTCATACTACCATATTTACACTAACCTTGAGGGCCTTGGCTCTGGTGGACTCGTTGGCATTAAGGGAGGAGTCAACAACTCTTCTTTCATCTTGCTACATATAATGTAACTGAAGAAGGTTTAAACTAATATAACCGTGTGTGTGTGTGTGTGTGTGTGTCTGTGTGGATGGGTGTGTCTGTGTGTCTGTGTGTGTGGATGGGTGTGTGTCTGTGTGAATAAAATGTCCACCCTGTCAGGTCCAAGTGCACGACAGGGTGGACATTATCTGACAACGACAGGGTGGACATTTTTCCTTTCACTTAGCATTAGCTGTGCATTATATTGTAACTAGCTAGCTAGCTTAGCCTGATTCTTGAAGAGAACTTGCTAGAGTAAAACTTGTATATTTTGAAAATACTGCATTCTAATCACTTCTGGCCTATTTAATGCTGACAGAGTGGACGTACCGAGCTTGGCCAAACCACGTTTGTGAACTTAAACACCCAAAACTTGCCAATAGAAAGTCAGCTACTCACTTGCTGCAGCTCTAGATTTTCCTGCCTTTTGGAGAGATGAGAGAAACTGTTGGTGTGATGTCACTGTAGTTGATGTCCTTTCTTAAAGAGACGGATCCCCCCACACGACAGGGTGGACATTCATTTCAAGGACATATGCAAACTCATTTTTTAAATGAAATAAGAAATATGATTTTTATTTTTTATTACTTAAGACACTTAATTTATGTAATATGTTAATGAACTAAAAATAATATATACTTTTTTTTTTTCAAAGACATGTATTGACTTTATTCTACTCATCTTGAAAGTGAGTGAGCAGTGCAGGGGACATAGCAAAATGGCATGCATCCTCCTATACAAAACTGAAAAAAATCTTTAAAATGTTTTTAGAGAAGAATAATAATGCTTTATTAAGCATGTAGAAACTTAGCCCAATACAGCAAACCCTTTCAAAGTAAATTTCATATTAAATTAACATGTCAACTAAGCTATTCATGTACAGGACACCAAAAGGCACAGTTCAGTGATATTGACCCACTTACGAAAACCCGGGTTCTCAACGACGGAAAAAGGCTGGTCGTCGACCGCTATGAACTCCATCACTTTGTCGTTAATGGCTTTAGCCTTTTCGCTGTATCTTGAGAAGCTTTTGCAGTTCTTAAACGCCTGCTGAATGGGGACATCGATCCTCCGTAGTGTTGTTGTCTTAGATTTAGTACCGCTAGCAGCTTCGGCGGCTGTCTCATAGTCCTTTAATACTGCTCCGCCACGATGGCGACTTTTCAGATGAGCTATCAGATTCGTTGTGTTAAAACTTGACGTCTTCATTCCTCCTCTTGGAATCCTCGCTGAACAGGTTTTGCATATAGCAATGCTGTTGTCATCTTCTGCCACTGAGAGAAACGACCATGCTGGTGAAGACATTTTATTATCTGTCAGGCAGTGACGGGGTCAGGCTTGGGACCTGCGAGTAAGGCTTGATAGACGACGTGACCAGCGCGTCTCGGACGGGCGGCTACTCCGCCTGCAAACGTTACTCGTAATTTCATTAATATATCGGATCTTTCTATCGGAAAAATGCATATCGTGCATCCCTATATATTAGCACACAGCAAAGAGGAATAAGACTTCCATGTGAACATTTAGTGCAAAAGGACAGACAGACATAGAATATAGAGCGAACAGAATCGCTGTGTTGTTGTGTTTGATATTAATTAAAAGAAAAGAACTGACTGGATCGGAACGCTGGATCGACGTCATTCATCAGATATCAGATCCAGTTAATTTGTCAATATCGGAGCCAATATCCCATCCAAATATCGGATCACGCATCCCTACTTCATCTCAACCAATAAATACCTACCATTTATCTTTTGAGGAACTGATCGATTCAAATGTGCTGAACTGATGATAATGAGTAATAACGAGTGTAACAGTTTGACTATGGCCCTAAAAATGGCCGCTGCATGGATGCAGAATTTGTCCCCCTCCTCTTTTCCATCTCCACTCTCATTTCATCACAGCCGCAGTGGTTAATTGTTCCCCTCCCACGCACACGTATATTTTCTCATCTCTCCTTTAACCCTCTTCATCCCATCATCTAATCCTCTCTCCAGCCATTGTCATCGTCATCAGTCTCCCCTTTCTTCCCTTCTCCTCACACTCTGAGGATTATGCAAGGGGAAAACAGTGATAGTGATCTCCATGGAAACAGCCCAGCAACAGGCTGGGTCCTGTTAACCAATCACAGGCCAGTCTGGCTCTGCGTCTCAGCCAATGGGAGAAGCAGGGGAGGGGGGTGTGCAGGGGGTCTGTGTGCCTGTCAAGGTGAATGCTCAGGAAGGCGTGATCAGGAACACTCACTTCCTGGTTAGACGGAGAACGTGGATGCTTTAGTGTGCAGAAATGTCCACATGGTTAGATGTTTGAACAAGAGGATTATGTTTTTATGTGCAAGGATGAAGCGTTTGTTTTGATTTAATTTATTTAAATGTACATTTGAATGTAGAGGTTTATCACACCATCTGCTAGTGAACCAGAGATGTGATAATGAGACAGTGACGAGAAGAGCTGCTGCAACATGAGACTGTGAAATAACAGGGAGTTTTTGTAAGAGATCGAAAAACAGCCAGGAGTATGGTCACTGCTGTCAATGATCTGCAAGGGATTCTGGGAGATTTCTCATGACACTTTGTTTTAAGTGTGCCTGTGACAAATCTGTTTGAAGGGCCACCTAATTCTAACTCTTCACCTGACCAATCAATCTAAAAAAATGATCAGGATACCAGAGTCTGTGATAATGTTTGGCAGTATGAACAAAACCTTACATCACAGTTTGAGTAATTTCGTATCACGGTAACGGTATATATCGCAGTATGTTTTCTCTCCCTGTGAATTCAATTAATGGCTTAAAAATAACCATTAGCTTTAGCTTTAGTTTTTGGTGCAGCAGGTGCGCCTCGCATCGTTTGGCTCTTATAATGGAGTTTGGCGTATTTCATCTTTAGGTGGTGGAGGAGGTTTCTGGTGTTTCCACCTCCCTCTTCCTGCAAGACGTCTCAACAAACTGGTGAAAAAGGCTGGCTGTGTGGTGGTACTCAAGCTGGACTCAGTGGAGGATGTGGTGGAGAGATCTACACTGAGGAAAGAAGAGACTATTCTTAAGAACATGGATCACCCACTTCACAACATCTTGATGGACCAAAGGGCCAATGGTGGTGGACGGCTCCTCTCTCTTCACTGCAGGACAGAAAGACTCCAGTGAAGCTGTTTCTTCTTCGTCAAAACAATGCCAAGCAGTCTACTGGACACGCTGGTGATTATAGGGAGCACACCCAAACCTGACCAATCAAACGGAGCGAACAAACTCCGTACGACACACTGGTGAATATACGAAAACGCATCCAAACAGATGCGCTCTGGCTTTCCTGTTAGCTAGCGCAGACAACTACACACTGACTCAGAGAGACGCTGCAGACATCTGCTTTCTCTCTCTCCGGTATAAGCAGTATAGCAAAATTTCTACCGGTAGACACTTTTATACCGCCACACGGTTTATACCGTCATACTGCCCAACACTACTCTGTGGTTGTGGACAATCAAACTTAGGGGCGATTTGAGATTTTGCTTTGGACTTCCTCTCTAAGAGCGGCAGGGATGTTTCTCTGTCAGTTAGGTCTGCTTTTGTGCATCACTGAAATATCAGTAGATTCAAAAACAAAGTCATGTATTGATCACGCTAATACTGACCCTTCTAGCTGGTTATGTTTCAGTACATAAGTGTGAGTCTGATACCCTCTACATGTTTGCCACCTCATGTTAAAGGGCTTATTCGTGTGAGTGTCCATGTGTGTTACTACCACATTCCATACCAGTCATCTCCCTGATCACGTGACCGCTGCTAAGTCAGGATTCGGTTGCTAGGAGACACCCTCCACCCCTCCCTCCTCGCCTCCATGCCCGCCTCTGGCTTTTAGCCCATCAAACTGTGATTCTGTGGGTGGAAGGGGGGATGCGAGTGGGGATCGAAGTTTATTTATAGAAGCCACGGCGAAGAGGGGGAATTACACGTCGAGTCTAAAATTAAACCGGTCATGTCCCCTGTCTACCGCTCCCTCACTCCCTCTCTCTGTATTCTTTCTTTGCTCGCTCACTTTCTTTGGCAGATTCATTCATAGATGAAGAGAGGAGAAGTGTGAGATAAGATGACAAGGCTGCGTGAGGAGTGAGGAGTGTGGGAGTAAAAAGATCTAGTGGAGCGATATTAGCCAACCTGTAGAGAGATTTAATTTAATAACCAACTAAGAGCCTCTATATTAAATTTTTAGACACATCTTTATGACTTTGAATTAATCTGAAATATGTAAATGGTTTCGTTTAAACTCTTTGCTTCATTTCTTCACTTCTTATTTATAGATTTCAGAGCAGCAGAGATTTACTGCAGCCCGACAAAAAGAGGCTCTGACTGGAACCCAAACCATGAACTACTAAATCATAGACTTTCTCCATTAACGTTCCTGTCACAGCCGCCTTCGCACAAAATTAAATCACCCCTGCAGCTTCTACATCCCAGGAGTCCAGCAGAGTGCAACCATTTTAGACGTGCTGTGCAGGAACTGGTGTCAAAATGGAGAGCCCATCAGACTGTAGCCACAGCTGTCCCTGTTATGGATGGATGAATGGATGGGGTGACAGGATGACAGGGTGGGAAGTGGAGGAAAAGACGAGTGGAGACTGAAGGGGAGAGTTTCTAATATAGGAGGGAGGAAAGATGCAGTTTGTTGATTAGATTCACTTTGTTTCTGTAAAGGAGGCTGGTATCGCTCCTGCAAGATTTAGTCTTTACATAAATACTTCTTTAATTTTGTGATAAACTGAACCAAAACAAACTCATCACCATCATAATGTTTAGACCTTTTAACACGCATCTCTAACCAGAAGACTGCTTTGACAAATTTATTAATAATGAAGCTGCCTGGAAGCCGGCTGTTACTCACAGCCAGAGCCGATCAATCATCTCTCCATCAGAAGTTCAGGAGGTTGAACTTGACTCCTGCTGTCCTTGTGTTGACGTGTCCTTGGGCAAAATTTCAAATCAGTCCCAGTGGTATATCCACTGCTGTGTGAATGCATATGAATGGGTTAACTAGTGTTAGTGGTCATATAAATGACAGGTATCTGCCAACAGTGTGTGAATGTGTGAATGTGACACTGTTCAAGTACGAGTCTATTCACTGTTTAGCAGAAGGAAATAGCTGACCTATCTAACTTAGGGCTGGACGATAAGGGAAAAAGTTTATCGCAGTTTAATTTTTTTCATATCAGTCGATATCTATATGTATCACAATATAAAAAAAAATATTTGTCAATCTTAAATGTTCCCTGTTACTCTTAAATGAAAGTTAACATGTACTCAACATAATTTGCACAGTACTCTGCCTCATGTCCGACGTTAAAAAAACAAAATACCTCCACTATCAACTAATCAACTAATCGATGATCATTAAGAATTACGTCGATCTTGCAAACATTCGATCTATCTTTATTAAAAAAGGGCCGACAGGGTGCGTCCAACCTTAAGCTGCTTTCCAGCCAAGATCATTTCAATGAGGAAAAACGTATTTTTCTTCCATTCGCATAAAAAAAACGATCAAATTGATGACTGATCATTAATTTATAGGATTAATCAATCGAGGGACTTTCTTAAAATTCCCATTCCTAATCTCCATATTTGTCACTTTCTGACAGTGTCACAGCCTCAGGGGGTCACCTCCAACTCTCTTTTGGTTTCTGCACTAGTCATTGTTTGACTAGATTATTTTAAGCACAATTGTCTGTGTGAGACTCGTGACAGCTAAAGGCTTCTGCTTTCTTCTTAATCTAGCGCCCATGTGTGGAGTTAACGAGGGGTTAAGAAACAGGCTGAAATGAACAGCTTTGTTTCTGTAAGATGTTAAAAAAACAATCGAGATCTGACAGCTACAACTCTGACAGCTTCTAAATGATCATTTTCAGCACAGTCTTACACAGAAGGGCTAATGAACGACTTAACAGCTGCAGTTTTATTTTTTATTTCCTCTGCTCCACATTTATTTTAGCAGACATGTTTGTCTCATAAGATAAGAAGGTAACCAATGCGGTACCCCCTAACAGCTGACCCAGACGAGAAACGAAATGCTAAAATGGAAATAAAAGGAGTGTAACCGCATCATTTTACCAGACGTCAGAAAGAAAGTAAACTGTCATAATTCTCAAAATGTTAAAGGTTGTATTTTTGGGAATTTCCCCTTGTGGGACTGATTAAGGAGTACTTTATCTTACCTCTCGCTTATCTTTCAATGTTGAGACTGTCAGAAGAAAAAGAAGAAAATCTGAGTTCGAAGATGCACAGAATGTGTTTTGAAGCAAAGATATTTTAAGTCTCGGGACACTGTGTTTGGCTGTGATTTCTAACAGGGTTTGGCTGAGGTTTGTTAGTCGTGACTGTTTGTGTTGATTCACAGTCGAGTTGATTCCAGGCTTTTTAGGGAAGATTTTCAACGGATCACAGCACACATTGTCATTTTGAAAATGACTTCGACTCAAAATGACAATGAGTTTGAACAGCAGCACAGTTCTCCATCAAACCTGTCACATTGACTCTGTGTCAAAGAGTCACCTTCAACCGTCTAAAAACACACTAAGGTGTTGCACCCTTCAACCAAAACAGCCTGCACAGGTTTACATTAAAAGTCGCTTTTGTGCTCCTCCCTTTATATACCTCCACAACATGTCACACAAGACAAATGTGCAGACATTACAGACCATGTCCCAGTGCTGCTTCTCCCCATTACCCCGCAGAAAAGGTCCACTAACCCCATCAGAGTGAGCAGTCGTGAGCTTTAGAAAAAGGAACAATAAGGCCGACTCATTCCCCTGAGTCTGTTACCAGCTTCAGCAGCTGTTTGGAAATGTTGTACTGCTTTCTCTGCTAATATTGGATCCCTTTACCATTCAAAGAGATGCTTTTTCAAGTTTACAATGACAAAAAGGGATCTCTTGACACTTTGTATACAGAGCAGGTCGATTACACTCTTCGTAAAATCACTAGCAAACACCCAACCTCATCCACGAAGGCTCAATCTCCAAAAATGGCCACTTTCATACTTAGGATTCAACTGCTAACTGACTATCTGAGATTCAAGAATACCCAACACCGGCCTCTGAAAATGTGAGAGCTCCCCGTCTTTCCACCTGCTTACATGGGATGCCCAGGCCTGAAGCGGGTGGAGCACACCACCCACCTTCCTGCTGTGTGCATACATAAAAAGCCAACGCAGGGAGGGCAGCAGCAGCAAGTGTGGCCACGCCAAAAGAGGGCAGATGGTGCACCGACGCTGTGGCTTTAATTTTCACACTAAAATATAGGGCTGGGCGATAAACCGAAAATTTACGACAACAACTGATGCCATTTTGCCTGTATCGGTATATTCGGTGTCAAAAAAATAAAGTTGGTTTTGGATGTGTGTAGGTAGGCTATGGTCTCATGTCCCTTTTAAGACGCTGTCCTACGTCAGAGACATGACTCCACCCCATCCAGTCAGTAACAAAGAGGGAAAGACAGGTGAGGAGATGGAGGACAGTTCAAAAGTTGTAGCAGCTGAAGTAGACGAAGTTAACGTGGGAGGGGGTGAGCAGCTTATGGAGTAGTTTATCTGTTCAATATATCGTGATACTGATTTGAGGCCATATCGCCCAGCCCTTTTAAAACAGCTCTGCGAACTCAAAGTATGAGGTTTTGAAGGACCATGTAGCAGCATAACAGTCCGTTTTCCCCTGGCCTTACACCATGGAGGTAAGGATAACATCTTATCCCATTCAACCATAAAAGGGGGCAGTGATTTTATGCCACAACAAATACAAACACCAAAGCACACAACTCTCTAACATGCCTTCATTGGGATGCATTGAAACAGACAGCGGACTATGACTACTTTAACGTCTCCTCTTTCCTCCTCTCCTGCTCAGCCTGCTGTGTCCCTGCTGAGGGAAATCGACTGATTGTATCTCAAGGTCTTATCAAATCTGATGTTCCTCGCACCACTGGAGCCGCACCGTGATGAATGGACGGAGATTTCCTCTACAAGGTCATCCTAACACCTATAACATCCGTCAGTGTGTGGGTGTGGGTGTGTGTGTGTGTTACCCCATAGTAACAGTGATGGCTTTTGTTTGTTGGCCAAATGAAACATCAGCATTATGGGAGATAAGGAGAAAGAGACGGAGATGGATGTGTGAGGCGGCTTCATTACCCAGGTGAGCAGATCTGAAGAAACGCACTGCAGAAAAATAAAACGCCATCCGGTACTCCAATACGACCTACAGGAGTGTCCCTGAAACAACAAAGTCTAACAGCAGAAGGAAAAAGCTCCTACAACAGATAAACACCAATTTAGGTAAAACTAAGACAGAATTCAGTCTAGGGCTGGGCGATATGGCTTCAAATCAATATTGCGATATATTGAGCAGTTCACCTTGATAACGATAAATGGACGATAACTTCTCCACAAGCTCCACATTAACTCCAAATTAACTTCGTCTACTTCAGCCGCCGCTCCAACTTTTGAACCGTCCTCCATCTCCTCACCTGTCTTTCCCTCTTTGTTACAGACTGGATGGGGTGGAGTCATGTCTCCAACGTAGGACAGCGTCTTAAAGAGACATGAGACCATAGCCTACCTACACACATATTTTTTTTTAACAACGAATAAATTGACATGGGCCAAATGACAACGGTTATTGTCGTAAATTTCTGTATCGCTAAATTTTCGGTTTATCATCCAGCCCTATTAGAGGTACCACCCACATGCACATTTTCAAAGCTGTGTGTGTGAGCTACTTACCTCCCTAATGACCAGAATAAGCAAATACAGTGAAGTTGTAGTCCCAAAACCCCCCAAATTTACCGAAAAAAAGAGCTAAAAGAGCGCATAAAAACTTCAGGGGTGGTTAATAATTGACTGTAGCTCCCACTTTTACATGCACAAATGAGACAAGGCTTTGATTCAGGACCAGCTTTGAGGATAGTTTTTGCTAACGTTTTCAGTGCCATTTCTACTTCATCCATACCTGCAGCCATTATTAGATAGTAAGTGATGGTACAGTCTGTTTTTCAGTCAGTCAAAACAACCTGTTTCACCCGTCTAAAGCTCCACACCTACAGACCATCTACAGATCAACCCTGCTGTGTAAAACACCGACTCTTCACACTGTCCTCGCCTGTAAATCTACACTCCTGCATCGACGGTTTTTCAGCCTTCCTGCTCCTCGTTGAGTTTTCATCTTCAAATATAAATACAGGCCTCTTTTACATTCACCCTTCACTTTATGAGCTGTTCAATGAATTATTCACACAGTCATCACAGTCATAAGTCATCGTAGGTTTAATATCTGTAATGTAAAGATATTGTGGTTTCAGCAGACATCTCATCCCTTATTCATCATCCGTGTTCATCTTATCTCGACTAAACCAAAGAGTAAATCACTCTCATCGGTTTCGTACCACAAACACTCGTGCCTGTTTGATATTCCAGCCCCTCAGAACTGAGGAAACAGTATAATTACACAGTGTGGTGCGTTGAAATGCTGCTAAATGATTTAATCAGAGCCTGAATACAGGAGACTGAGCAGTTCAATATGTTACGTAATTCTCCACAGTAACAGGTTGTTGTATAAATGAAGCGTTCACACCTTTTAGTGATTAACATTTGAGGTGTTGGATGATTTCAGCCGTTCTGCGTTGCATCGTGAGTCACTCTCGCCCCTTCCTCACCTCCACCCCTCCCTCCATCTTGTCCTCCCCGCCTCACGCTGGGAATTATGCAACACTCTGCAGGAGCGGAGGGAGGACTCTGTGTGCATAAATGTGTGTGAATGTGTGTGTGTGTGATGGAGGTAGATGGATGGAGAAAAAAAAGAAAGGGAGATAAGTGTGTGTACGAGAGTGAAACGAGAGAAAGTCAGGGTTGGACTTCTCCTTTATAAACTTCTCCTTTCTTTCATTCATCATTTCCATCACAGCTGTTTCAATCTTTCTCCATCAAGGTCGTTGACAAGGACGGTCTAGCTGCATTTTCTGGCCTCCGATTGGCTGTTTCCGAGGAGCAGGGCCTTAAAGGGACAGCGGCGCAGCAGCCATGTTTTGTCACAGTAAAGAGCAGCAGCTGGAGGAGGTGTGACAGTGTTTGAGGAGACCTGCCTCACACACATGGAATTTCCCAAACTGCCTCCTGCCCTCGCTGAAGTAATTAGTGAGGAGTCAAAATAGCTGGAAGAGCTGGCAGTGAGAGCGCTTTTGTCATGGTGAGGCCTTGAAAATGACCTGAAATCACAGCAATACAATCCTTTTAGTTTTATTTATCTAAAACAGCGAGACAGAAAGGTTATCTGACACCTTTACCAAAAACTGTGAGGACAGACGAGAAGTAGAAAACCATCTCTGCAGTATCTTGTAGGTCTCATGAGGAGTTTTTGATGGAGTGACTGTGAAACCGATTGAAATGAAAACAAAACAAAACCGCCAGTGAGAAAACTTACAACTTCTGTTTTGTCATTTTAAATGCCTGTTCCCACCGTGAGGAGGAAATCACCTATCGTTTTTCAGCTTTTAAAATTCAAACTTTTGGCTGTTTTTACTGAATGCAAATTCCACAGCTTTGTTGTTTTCATTACAGCCTCTTGTAGTGCAGGTTAACTTTGTATTTCTGACTTTGAGATGAGGGATGGGGCCGATCTGATCCAGTGTCGGTATCAGGTTCCAATACCAACGTAATTCATGTATTGGAGATTTCTGATCCAACCTGTGAAGATTTCCGATCCATAGGTCATGCCTTTGCTTAAATTTTGCTGAAATTATAATGTCAAGTGATTCTTGATTCCTAATGGCTGCAAACTGTGCAATGGATTTCCTGAACGGAGGCGTGTCTCAATGAGACACAGAGATGAGACACGCCTCTTTACGTTCAGGAAATCATACGTACATATACTTGTCTGAAGAGAGGAGTTTATTACAGTGCCATATAAAATAAACAATAATGATAATAATGATGGTAAAACTAAAAGAGCTCTGGTATCGCAATAGTATCAGTATCGGCAGATATCCAAATTCAGGAATAGAGATCGAATCGGATGTGAAAAAATGTGGATCGGTGCATTCCTATTTACTGTCCTTGTACGGATTGCAGGACAGGCTTTCACTCCACTTTTGTCTGTCAGGCTCCTCCCACATCTGTTAGTCCTAAGAGTCATTAAGCCCAGCCTGAGACAGAGGGTCAGTCACTGTTATGTGGTTTCGGCCAATCAGAATCAACTACTTCACTCACTCTTGACTCATTTAATATAAATCACTCAGTAATTAATCACGGTGAAACATTGGCTCTGGTTTAAATCTGGTGGAATAGCTGGTGGCAAACCTCATCATGGTCAAGCTTGTGCCTTTGCTAGTCTTGGTATTTTTATCGATGACCCATAGCTTCAAGGTTTGTAGCCTTTTTGATCCATGAAGATCTGTGTTTTGCAGACTAGTTAAGGAGCCAAATGGACAGTAAATTGAATTGAAATAGCATAGGTACGTCATTATCCATCTCAAAAACAGTTATTGTTGGGACTAATGGGGTTTTTAGTCTTCTTGTCTTGCATGCTGGCAGGTTATAACACTGCAAGACTCACATCTTATGTCTCATTTGTCGTCAGAATATCTCTTCACCCTTACTATAAACAACAAGTCCAGATTTAAACCTCATTTCAAGACATTTCAACCATAAATTAAAGACTTCTTAAGGACTCTGTTAATAAGTATTGCATCTTATTTCAAGAAGCTCATCAAAAACAAGATTTGTGTGATATAATGGCAGCCATTTTTACTCACTACAATCAATCGAGTCCTTATTTTTGCTAAATGCATACACTAATCAGTGTTTTTTTCAGCCTGAAGCCTGAAAGTCTGGGTTAGAAGTGGTTAACGGTTGTCCAATCTGTAGATAAAGACTTTTGAAAATCACAGCCAGTACTTTTTGTCCATGTTCATCTTCCTTCTATACAGTGAAGAAAAATCTCCCTGCTGTGACTCCAGTTATCGCGGCCAGTGTTTCTATTATAAGATGTGACTGGAGCAGAAAGTGCAGCGAGCGTAGGCGGAGGAGAGAGAAGCTCACACACATACAAACACACTTACACACGTACATGCAGACTCACAAATACAGGGATAAGAACTTCCATATGTGAATAATTGATTCAGCACTTCCTTAAAGAAGCGTACTCGGTGTTCCAGGAGGAGAAGTTCATGTGTGGTAACAGGAAGGGAGAGAAATAACGAAGAGTTATATATATCTTCAACACAGTCTGGATTTATTCAGTCACTGTTTCATTATTTGAGATCAGATGAAAAAAAAACTTGACGTAAATGTCTCAGAAGTAAAACTTTTCCGAGAAAAATTCAGTATTTTTTATTTGAAGTGTTTCTTTTTCGTGACTCGGGCTTTGTTCTCTCCGATTTGTGACTCGAGATGACGGCAAAGCTTGTGAGTTGATTGAGTGTTTGACCTCAGGGAAGACAAACCAAACAATTGCACTCCCCTGCAAAGATACAGAATAGAGAGAGAGAGAGGGAGGAGAGAAAAGGATACTTCCAAAACCTGAGATGACCTCAGAGAAGCTCGTTTAGGGATGAAACAAACTCTTCTTCTTTCTTGAACTGCTGCCTTTGAGCTCTGAAGTCACAATGACGGAGGAAGATGGAAGGAAAAGAGAAGAGAGGAGATAAAACAGCTCGAGGGCAGAAAAGGTACAAGAGGAGAAAAAAGGCTGAAAGAAATGACTATTTGTTCTACTTGAAAGAAGGAGGCCACTGAAGTGGAGCACTTTATTAAATGTCTCTGGGATGTTGACTCAAACTTTAGTCATACCAGCTTTGGTTTCACGCCTAAAAGAAGTCATACATATTTATATTACAATCCTTTTAAAGCGGTGTACAGAACAAGAGAGCTGTCCGTGGTGCTGATCCCAGAGCTTTTGGGAACCATGTATATGACAGTGGACCAAAGTTTCCTATTTCTCTCCTACTTGCTGAGTTACTAAACCATCTGTGCCAGTGTTTCTGTAAAATCCAGAATCTATACGTTGCAGCTGCAGCAGTCTGTGGGGTTTCTCAGTGGGGACGAAGGTTTCAACCACCTCCCTGTGTGATGATTCCCATTATGCTTGGCTGTGTGCACTTCCTGTACACATGTGTAGCTCCGTCTTGTACCATCTGCTTGCATCATATGGAGTTTATTTCCCCGCTAGCTACTGCTACAGTTGTTGCGCTCAGCATATAGTAACTTTGATAGTTTTGACTGAGGTACGCACACCCACTGGGATTGCTCCAACCACCACAGGGTACTTGTTGTTTTACTCCGAGGAGTCTTTTCTGTCAAATGGGCCCTCCACAAGGTCTGTTTACTTTAGAGTACACCACAGTTTTCTGGAAAACAAGTAGAAAAGCAGTTAAAAGTGAAGCTGCAGGTCTAATCTGTCTTCCTGTGTATCCCAGCATGCTTTGTTGAGCAGCTGCTTGCAAAATACAGTTAACGAGGATGAAAATTTTATTGTCAGGTCAGTGTTTTTTTACGCGCTTCTAACTCAGTTAGTCCACGCTACACACACTCAAACTCTTCGTCTCTCTTAGTGAAACGAAGTCACGCTTTAGCTCGTTTCTGCCTACTTTTCGTACCATCTGCCATGTTTTTTTCCCTCGAAGTCTCTGTTATCATTTGCGTAGACTGCCTCTCACAAGACTGTTTTCCAAAGCACCCGGAAGAAAGGAATCATTAAGGGAATCGTTAAAATGAAATGTAAATGAGGTCGATGGATTGAACTATTTGGAACCGGTTCTCAACAAGAACGGTTCTGGATTCTTATCCCTAGTCTCACCTCTGTCCATCTCTCTTTAAACCAGCTCAGTCTTGGCAGATGACTGTTTAACATGAGTCTGGTTCTGCTCGAGGTTTCTGCCTGTTAAAGGAAGTTCTTCCCCTCCACTCTAACTCCTTAGATGCTGAAAAGTGTGTTGCTTGTGTGGTTTCAGATGGGATGGAAGTGGGTCTGATCTTTCAAGATGGGTCTCAGTCTGATCCTGTCTTTACATCGGGTCTTTGTAAACAGTTTGGTTGAGATAATGTTGTATTATCGACAAAGCTCGTTGAATTCCAGATTGATCTGAGTTTTGCTGTCCAATCAGAGTCTTGAAATCTGTGTGTTAAGGCTGGGCGATAACCCGAAAATTTACCGATACAGAAATTTATGACAATAACCAACATCATTTTGCCCATATTGGTATATTCAAAAAATAAATAAATAAAAGTTGGTTTCGGATGTGTGTAGGTAGGCTATGGTCTCATGTCCCTTTAAGACGCTGTCCTACATCAGAGACGTGACTCCACCCCATCCAGTCAGTAACAAAGAGGGAAAGACAGGTGAGGAGATGGAGGACGGAGAGAAAGTTGTAGCAGCTGAAGTAGACAAAGTTAATGTGGGAGGGGGTGAGCAGCTTGTGGAGTAGTTATCGCCCATTTATCGTTATCGAGGTGAACTGATCAATATATCGTGATATTGATTTGAGGCCATATCGCCCAGCCCTACATGTGTGTGTTTCTGGGTTGTACCACTCAGCTGCAGGAGCCTTTTATTCTTACATCACAAGTGACCACACACAGAGGAGGATCTGTGACCAGGCTGTGTGTGAGTGTAATTGCGTGTCTGTCCTGCTGCTGGTACCTGTGTGTTTGGTCATCACGGCACCTGAACTGTGTAAACACCTGTCATATTCGTCTGGCCGTACTCATTCACTCCTCATGCACGTTTGTGTGTTAATGTGTGTTTGTGTGTCCGTGCTTATATCTGCAGGACATGTCTGTGCTCAGTGATGCAGGGGTAATGATCAGAAGAGCACGCATGAACACTTGTGAGTACTACTGCACGATACACACATAAACTCACTCTTACATACAGTGCTCCTGTCACTCATAATGAGTATTCATATTTCTCCCAGAAATATGAAAATTTCTGACTGCTGATCCGACACAAGTGCCTCGTGGTATTTCCAGAGTCTGAGAGCTAAAGGTTAGAGCGTGTGACCTGAATCCCCAGACACTCACTCTGGAAGTCTTGGCAGGAGCGACGAGGGGAGTAACAACCTCTGCTGCATCAGTGAGTACCACAGAAATCCCCTGAGCAAGGCACTTAACCCACAGTGGCTTTAGGAGAGCTGCCCTGAGTGTCATAATTGTTATCAAAGCCCCTAGATACAACACCGAGAGGTCAACTCGCCGCACAGTGCCTGGGATCTCTGTGACTTAATCTCATATTAATAAGAAACGATGACGACATTCAAATCTATTTGACCCCACATTTCCAAAGACTGTTATGGATGAGCTGCAGTTAGAATGGGGTCCAAATGAAGGCAATGAAGGATTCAGGAATTAACTGTTCGACATGGACATAAAGTAATGGCAGTTTGGGAGAAAATCAAACCTGTTACCTCATTTCAAACCAGATTTATTTACTTTATTCCTCTTCCCAAAAAGAGGACACGCGGGGACCGAGTCACGGAGTCACACAAAGTTAATTTTGAGAGTTTTTCGGGTCGGATCAAGAGTCTTTTATGCGTTTCTAACTCAGTAAGACCAGGTGACACAAAATCAAAACTCGTACAAAACCGCGGACATTTGAAGGATTTTATAAACTTCCTCGGGACATAGCTTGACAGCCCCCAAAAAAGAGGACATGTCCGGGTAAAAGAGGACGTATGGTCCCTTATATTAAAGCTCCTGAGAGAAACTTTTGGCATTCTTCGCATATCTTGTCTTGATTGATTTTTGACCAAAAACTTAATCCTGCTGATTTCTGACAGTCAAATTTATTACTTACTATGGACATTTAATGAGAAAATTGCAAAATCCATGAGCTGACACTTGCCTCCTCACACCGATTTCACAATTTAGGATATGAAAATCTTTTGTTTCGTTGCCAATCGTCATGTTTGCTTTGGGGTACCATGATAGGAATCAATATGAATTTCAGTTTATTTCATTAACCTTAAAAAAAACTCTTCACATGAGCTTCGAGGATAAAAGCAACACATTCATTAGTATGAGAGGGGTGGGCGAGTGATCAAAGCTCTGTACACAGAGGCTGAAGTCCTGCTCCAACTCCACCTTTTATTGATTTTTTTAAGAAAACAGCTAAATGAAAAATCTGTGGAGTGGTTATTTATTTTGAATCTGCTTTTGAGATGAAAAGTGATAATTGATAAGAAGTTACCAAGACTCTCCAAACTGTTCGTATCCGAATAAAAGCACTAGAGAAATGGTTCAGTGTTAGAATTTTGACTTGAAGCATGAGTCTTGTACAAACGCTGCAGATTCAAAGCTTCAGGTTCTGTTACCATCTATTACCTGTTGATGATTAGTTTCAGCCTGTGCCCCACAGATAGGACTGTTTTCTGTAGAACCATGGACTGCACACAGTTCTGTCTGGGACTGAAACCATAACCAGCTTTAGTTTTTAAAAAATACTGTTTGTCTGCATTTAATCCCTCCATCCATTCATCCTGTTTCCAATGTCCTCGGTTTTATTTTGTGTCAGTTAGATGATTTGGGAGCCCCTGTTGCCTGACGGCTGTTTCCATGGTGACCAGGTCTCTGAAATATATTTGTGCAGTTTCTTCCCTGCCTTCACTGCACTATATCTCTGTTCTTATCTTTGACCTGAAAGCACAATCTTTCCCGTGATTCAGCTTTGTTCCTCTTTCAACAGCTCCCTGCTGCTCACACACACCGGGATCCGGTCCAGGACCATCGATCCAGAGGAGGAAGGAGGAAGAGGCGGGGAGGAGGAAAGGTTGGACTGATGTTCAAGAGCACAATTCAGGATGCTTTGAAATGGAAATGCATCATAGGACACTTTTTACTTCTCAGCTCAGGGGCACGAATGTTAAAGCTGCCTTGAGTGAGGAAGGGCCTGACTTTTGTGGTTTTCTATCTTGAACACACAAGCTATATGAGGTTTGATCCTGAGGGACAGAGCCTGTGGTTTGACAAACTTAAAGGAATATTCCAGCATAAAATTAATTTAGGGTCAAACACATTGTAACACTCCTCGAGAGATGAATGTTACCGACCGCCTGCTTCTCTAGTTATATCAACTTTAGTAACGACCGCAGGATAGCAATACAGAGAGGTCTGAGGAGCCATAAACAAACCTCAACCAAAACGCCACTCTATAGCCACAAATAATGCTCAGAACAGCACCTAACTTCATCAACAGGACATATAGGGTCACAGCCATAGTACTAGCCACCACACATCTTTTTAACTTTGACTAATTTCTTTAGCAAAGAGACTAAACACAACTCACCTACTCTCTCCCAGCAGTCGCTTGTTTGTAGCGAGACCTCGGGCCTGTCCATTACAGACTACAGCGGGGTGACGCAGCTCAAGGAAGAACATTTATGATCATTAAATTAACTTTACGCCGGAATATCCCTTTAAGTCTAATCATTTACCAAAATATAAAAATAAAAATTAATGCAAGAATGAAACAAAAATGGGTTGACATAAAATTTAATTCATGACTTGAAGTAGCATCGTCTTGCTCTAAGAGTTATTTTGAATTTCAAAGTGACTTCCTCTCAGAAGGAGCTAATAAACTTAATATTCCTACTCTCCAACCATTCTGTCAGTCCCTCAATCTATGCATATACATCATTTCAAAATAAAAGCATGCTTTCACACTCTAGGACATAAAGCAACTCAAACACAAGACAGTAAAAGTGTCAAAATAAAAGCATTACAAACCGTCGTTTTCAAAGGCAGTCTCTTCCCCAAAGGTCAACACAAACTGGGTCACTTACATTAACCTTTACCACAGTGTGTGTCGACTACTGCAGCAAAGATTACGCCGGAGAATATGTCAAATTAAAGCCATGTACCTCAAATATAAAACGTGCTTACGGATAATATGTAACGCAGAATAACACACAGACAATAATCAAAGTAATAACATTGTCATTGTGAATATTCTTGATTAATTTAAATCCATAACAGCCCTGAACAGAAGATACAACACACTGCAACAGCTGCTAAATGGGAAAAACATCATTTTTTTAGTGTTTCTTTTTTTTTTCCAGGTCACTTTGAAAAAACAAAAACTTGATTGATGGCTCGAACTCGAGGGATGACAAAGCGGTGCAGAAACCAGGCCACTCTTACATTGTGATGGAGGGGAGTATTGATCCCATTTGGACACAGTGACTGCTTCGAATTAGAATCACACAGGCATGCACTCATACTAAGAATCCTGCACGCAGCCTCACAGGCAAACATTTACATAGCAACACAAACATGTCTGTGCAGTCACAACTAGACGACAACATTTACACACACTAAGTGGATCACTGTCTCATTAGCTCCTGTGTTATGCAATCAAGTATGCTTTCCTTTCCATCACTTCTTAACTGTTCATCATTGTGTGCATGCGTGTGTGTGCATATATGGCAGCTGCGTAATATCCACGGCCTTTTGCTCCATCTTAAGTCTCTAAAAACAGCAGTATAATTGTCTAATCTCCCACAGCAGGTGGTGCATACAGAAATAAAACATGTGAGGAGGCTGCAGCTTCCCTCTGACCACCTCCAACACACATTGTTTCCATGTGATCCCTGTTCTCTTGTGTGCGTGGCGGTGGTTTCCATTCCCTGGAATAACTCAGTGTAAGCCATCTTTATTCCAGTGTGATGCTGCAGAAAGAACCAGCTCAGGTCTGATTTCATATCAGTTAATTCTCTCACCCTCTATGTCTCCTTTCCCGTCACTATCGGCACAAATTGAAGATCATCCCGTGTTTTTTAGTCTTCACTGATGCTCACATCTGCCATCAAAAATGATGACATGCTAATGCAGGCTGTATCCTGCATTCAGAGGACGGTGTGTTTGTTCCGGTGTTTGCCCCAGATGATAGTGATGATGCAGATGTGCATTTTGTTTTTGTTTCACAGCAAAGAACAAGATTCACACTGAACAGATGCTGCCAATTAAGCAAAAACACACAAGGGAGGTGATTCAATCCACCTCATCTTTGGAATTATAATAAGAATTTTAAAAAATACAAAGGACTGGAGATGTTTATAAAGTATTTGTAGAGAACCTCACCAATGCATCCATCTTTTAGTACACTTTATGTCTCATATTGGTGATAAACCAGACTGGATTACCACCATCCATTGACTTTGTTGGCAGTCCAACAGCAGGTTCAGATAGTTTGAGGGTCTAGTTTTATTTATTTATTTATTTATTTTTTAACAAAAAACAAGAGCCCAGTTAAAAACAAGGCCTCCGAATTGAAGGTCAATTTCATTTGTCATAAGGAACCCAGACAATACAAGAACCCTACAACATAAAATGTGACAGTAGTTCAAATAAGACATAATTTCTTAAAACAGCATAACAAATATAAGTGATGTTGTCTTAAATCAAGATACCAAAACATTCTCATTTAATATATATTTTTATTCCACAAGCAGGCATGAAGAAAACAAGCATGTTCTTTGTGGTTTTGCAGTTTTCATCTGGTCATTGTATTATGTTGTGTGTCGTACAGACTAGCCTCCTGACGTCTTTATATGTCAGATAATGTATGATTCAGCGGATTCTGTCAGGTTCAGATGACCTGCAATAGAAATCTTCATTTAAAAAAAAAATGCTTCATGGCATTCTTGAATTGAAAAGTTGTACATATATCTTACTCTTAAAATGAGACGAATAATCTTGTTGCTCCGCCGGATTTTATTATAAAACATTTTTCTGCTCTATTTCTGGTTCATTCTATCTCAAAATTAGCTGGAATATAAATTAGCCACTTTCTCTTAAAATTAGATCATTTTTCTAATGTCAAACATGCTTGACCAGATTAGTATTCTATATGTACAAAAAATAAAACCTATTTCCTAATACAAGATTGTTTTCCTTTCTTGAAATTCTACTTTTTGCAGTGAATAAAAAAAGGGGGGTAGAGAGCAGGAAACAGGATAGTAAATATAAAAGGACAATATTTATAATGATAATAAAATCATAACAAAGTAGTAGTAATGATAAAATGGAATAACAAAAATGAGCAGGAAAAAACAATAAGATCAATAAGAGGCCTAAAAGGTTGAATAGGAAAAGATTATAAGTAAAACAAAGGTTAAAAAGACAGTAAGTCGAAATATTATAGAGGTAAAAGAGATAAACTATAAAAGGGGAAAAAGACAGCATCACGTTAAAGCAAGTCTGTTTGATGCTATTGTTTCTAAACAAGCTACGATTAGTGTTTTCTGGACTGTTTCTTCACATTTTCCTCCATCATATGAACGGAACAGCACATCATACATGTTGGATCACGTCTCATCCGCGGAGTGACACAGAGGGAACCCTAAGAGCTGCGGAAGCCTGAGCACACTCGCGGAGGGAGACAGCATCCGAAGAAGAAGCCTGCTGCCCGGCTCTACTTTGCACCGGCATCATTTGGGGAGACGGTTGGTGAGGTATCACCAACGGCTGCCAATAATTTTTACACTTACAGCCTGAAATTGAAACCCTGTTTGTTTTTCACTCGAACAGGAAGCAGTTTTCCCTCAGCGTTTCATTTTAATTCTGCCTTGTAAAGCTAAATTGAGACTGTTACCGTCAGACAATACGACATTTAAAGGCTACAATCTGAGCTAGTTGATTTTTCTCGTCAAAGCAATATCCATCAACTGAAGGGAGACATTTTTTTCCTCTAATTATCAACAGTTTTTCACCTGTCTCCCTGCCTTAACGCCAGCTGTTCTGGTTGAATCCAGCGTACAACTGATTCATCTTTAGAGGAAAGCCGTCTGACAGCGCCAAAATGGGGGTAAGAGCTACACTTACTGTGATTTATGGAGTTTATTGGTGTTAAACTGACAGTTTGGTCGCAGTTAGCCTTAAAGGAGTGGGTATGGTAACGGTTGTTTAACGGTTCGTGTCCGTTTAGGAAAGGGTTAACTTGTTAAGAGATGTTAAATGATGTTGAATTACATTAAACATGCTGTTACTTTTATTGGTTTTGACTAGGTGACATTTTGTGGCATGAAAAATCATTGTAAAGCGGGTCTACTTTTTCATGGAAGCACACTGCAGTATGAATGAATATCATTCACCATGCTAAATCAATGCGCCGCAGGGCATCATAATTATAATTTAGATTAAGGGGTAAGAGAGGAGGGAAGGCTGTGTGACATTTTTGGGAGAATAGACGCCAGATCTGTCCGGATTAGACTCAACCAAAACCGGTGTAGGGTGGTTACCTGTTACAGTAACGGTGTAAGGTGTTCAGGCGTTACAGTAAGGCTCCTCACGTAGTAATTCAGTCTCAACAGCTGTAACACACACAAAATTCTGTCATCAGTGTTGCCCAAGAAGCGTGAAATAACCCGTTTCCAAGTTAAAACCTCCATTTTGAGAAGCAGTGTAGTTCACATTCACTGTAACAGCCGATAATTCATACCGATAAAATGGAGATAAAGGAATGTTAATGTTCTGAACTCGGAGTCCTGATCGTTATACCAAATACGAATCGATTATCTTCGTTAAAAGCCGTTAGTGATGCGTTCTAGCGCTGCAGTCCTAAATATCACATTTAACAACATCTGAGATCGGGCCCATCCTATCCGATCAATCCGTTATTTTTAATGATAGGTAACCGATCGATACATTTTGTAATCACGTGTCAGTCAGAGGGTTGCAGGGAGACGTGCTGCTTCCTCCATCGGTTCCAAAAATGCGAGATTACACTGACTGAACATCTGGCAGCGAGCTCTGGACCTGCTGCAGGCGGTTGAGGAAATCCACAGCTCTTAAGCACACGATTAGTCAGACTGCGTAATGACACGGTCGATTCCTACCAGAAATGAAACCCATTGTTTAGAATATGCAGATGGAATGCGCAATTACGCACGGGGATAACCAACCTGTTTGTGTGCACAGAAATGCAGCCTGGACTGCGGAATATAATGTTAATCCTCAAAAGCAATGCTGCAAATGTGTGCCTGTGTGTGCTTTAGTTGTGGAAAAAGAGCTCTCACAAAGTCATGAAAATGAAATTTAGAATATGAGGATGCAAAGTGTAAAATGAAGATCAGCAGTGGGCGTGGGCTGAGAATGAAATCTGTGCTACTCCTGATCCTCTCTCATTTTCTTCTGCAGCCCTTTAATACATTTTTGCCTAATTCAGAAATGACGTAATGCCCCGGTGTGTCCTCTCGCCACTGGCACTGCTGGGCTTGGTGAGGATGCAGGAACAGCTGTAGGTCTGGGTACCAAATGGGCACACACAAGTGCGTCAAAATGGTTCCACAGTGTTGGTTCTCCCTCTCCACCCTTCCAGATCTATAAATGTCTACTGAAGGGGTCCCAAAGGAAGGTGCTCTCCACAAATGTGGACTCAGCCAACACCTTCAGCAGCTCATTTTTCAGCAGCAGCCTCTGAAAAGCTCCCTGATGTGCCAGGTCATGAAGGACATCCTGTTCCAGCGACTAAATTTAGACTCAATGATGTCATTCCTGCCGAAAAATCGCTGATACCCACCTGTTGGCCGTTTTACCTTGGTGAGGTATCAGGATTATGTGTTGCTTTATAGAATCAAAGTGACTTTTTCCCTTTAAAAGTCAGTGAGTTAGAGTTTCAGGCTTTGCTGCGGTATGTTACGCTCTCGGATCATGCAACATAGCTGTAGCTCCACATCTCCATCGCACACAGTGTCATGATGCATCACTGCTAATGGAGTATGATGGGCAGGGGTTTCTTCCTCTGCTCCACATCCGGGGTTGGGTGGGGGGAGCACTAAAAATGGTGCCGCTCTGTCACAGTTTGTGATGCTGTCCACTCTACTGCCTGAGGGGGAAACCGCTCTGAACTATCGCATCAAAGAGTGGAGGAGGAGAGAGAGTGTGTGTGAGTGGAAACTCCCACATTAAGGCTAGGATTTGCCAACGGGAGGGGTGGAATGAGAGAGGATGTTTGGGTGAAATGGGGAAGGGGGAGGAAGACAACATGAGATCAGTTGACAACACCGATCGATTGATAGGGGCAGTTGCTTCGGAGGCAACGATCAGGATGGTGGGTGAAAGTAGAAGGATGAGATGACAACAAGGTCAGAGACTGTTGGCATCACAGAGAGGTCCTGTTTAGAGTGACCAAGATCAAGTGAGTGAGAAAGAGAGAGAGATAATGATGATGAGTCATTTGGGAAGGATGGATAAATGAAGGAATGTAGGGAGAGATTCTGGGATGCTGCTGATATTGAGAGATATCTGAGCAACATGTGATGTGAGTGTGAGGCAGGTGTTTCTCTAGGGACTGTACCCTCTTTTATTCATGATAAAACTGATGTTTCATTCAGGAGTTCTCTACAATTTTCTGTCCTTTCAGTTTAATTTCTACACCTGTATTAAAACTCACCCAAATCCCTGCACAGAAGCATTCAGGAGCATGTGCAACTGTGTGCCCAAGCATCAGTGTGATGTAGTATCACTGTGATGAATGAACCGCCTGCTTTGTCCAACTGATCATAGATAAATTTATGAAGTAAAAAGTAAAAGTGTGATACTTTGACTCCACTGCAGGTGCATCTTTTCCTCAGGGATTGTTTTTACTCACCAGTCCCCCTCCCACAGTACTATCTGGTTGGCTAGGCATCACACAAGATTATTTTTCCAGGCTGCAATCAACGCTATCAATTTAAAACAACATCTAAATTAAACTTGCGACTGGATACTTCCAGTTTCAGCAGCAGCAAACCAGTAGACACTGACAGAGAAAGCAGTCCTGGTTTTATTTCCCTTGAGGACTTGACACAGTCTGTGGGTGCTGATGTGATCTGAGCCCGAATTGACCAGTAACCCAGTACTCTTCCAAGAGCAGACCACTGACCAGGGAATAAAGACCATGAATAGCACCCTGCTAGTAAATATCGTACCTTTTAAATGCCATGATAGTCTGTTTTGCGCCATTATCAATCAGCTGTTGTAGTTTGTCCTGTAAAACAGCAAATATTCAATATTACAAACTAGTTTCATTCAGATTAGTGGCCAAAAAAAGATAACTGGAGCATCTACTGGATAAAAATGATAGCCTGTGCTTTTTCAATGACAAATTAGATTTTAATTAATTGTGCAGCCTCAGTGACAGTAACAAAATAAACCCTCTTTTGGGTGGATTTTCACTGATCATCTCTAATGGCTGTGTAAATTAATTTCCTGCGGTAAATTAATGAGCACTAAGAATGGATGAATCCTTTTTATTTTCAGTGCAAAAGGCAAAAAATCAGTGTGGAGCTCATGTAACTGTGAGAATCTTTCTGCTTAGCTGTTTTACGATTTGTAAGTTGTAAATCTCTTTTGACAGAAATATACAGATGTCAAGTTATCATTAAAATGTCTCCTAGCGCTAATTAAACCAGTCGAATTCACTGTTTTGTCCAGAGTACAGAGTTTCACCACAGGCAAGACCTTCTGCCCGCTGAATTTACACATCAGTGCGAGAGCGAAAACAGCCCGTGGCTCAAGTCTATGAACAACAATTTTAGCCAAATAATATAAAACTGGATTAAAACTGGGCATAGATAAATAAATAAACATGCCCTCAGTGCTCCAGTGTTAATGAGTATGCAGCTTTGGGGAATTAAAAGGCAGAGAACAAAATGATGTAAAATCACCACATAAGAAAACATTAAGGTCAAATTTAAACTCATGCATTTAGAGACAGGGCAGTGCGCTTAAGAATCGTTTTCATCTGTCATCCTGGTGAGACCATGGATTTTCTACTCAATTTAAAACAGTGGGCAGTTTTGGCTGAAGTGATGTTTTTCAGGTCATGTGGTTGACGCTCCACATCCTGCAACGAGACCAGCACACATTGGGATTTAAGTATTCAAACAAATGCTGTTTAGCCCTCGCTATGTTACTCTTTAAAGTGCCACCTGTTACTGCTTCACTGCTAGCTATGGTCGTTGAGTACAGCCTACAGTACCATCAGAGTTGTTCGGCATGGTTGGACCCTCTTACCTCAACCAACTTGCCAAGACTCGTACCATCCCTCATCCCTGGTCACTGGTTGTCTTAACTTGGGGGTTCCTTTGAATCAAACTAGCACTCCCTCCAAGTACACCACCGTTTTCTTCAACGATCTAGAGAGTAGTGTTTGAAAGTGGAGTTGCCAAACTGATTGCCTCTCTTTGTTTCCTGTGTGTATTGAGCATTTTGAGTTTTTTGCTTCTTTGAGCAACTTTCTCTCTGCATGGAGAAGTACAACGGTCACTTTTGGTGGTCTTGTCTAACTGTGACCCCACTGTTGCTGTGACAGGCTTCGCTCTGATGGTCTGGTTGGCAGTTATAGTCCATTAATCTTATTCTGTTTCATAACCAGCAGGAAACTCCTCACAGTCCCTTCAAGGAGGTTGGAGTTGGAGTACATGGAAAACTTGCTGAATTACTTCAATAGTTAAACCATGCATGTTCGAATGGTCACAGACTCCATTGCATAATTGTTTCAGTCAGTCAATCAATAATCAATATTGGGTCTGAGACTACTTCCCCTTCATATTTTCCATATGTGTGAGTGTATGTGTCACAGATCCATGTCCTGAAAAACGCTGGTCAGTGATTTCCAGTGTCATTGATCTGTATATGCTTTGGGCGTTTCCTGTGAGGTCACTCTGACATCACTTCCCATTTGCTGGGTCACAGGGTTTGAAAGGTTATTCGTAGTTTTCCTGCTGAAATATGAATGTAAAGAAATGATGCCATTAAAATATTTCACTATTCCCCCTCCCTCCTTCTCCTCTTCTGCAATTACAAGGATGGACCCAGTGGATTGGGTGTTGCTAGGAGACCATACGACACTGTCAATCTGATTCTTTCAAACACTGCCATTTTCTATTCTCAGACATGCTGCAATGCAGGAGGTGACACACTGCTAAATGGTGGAGAATGGCTCAAAATCTGTAATGTGACAAGCAGTGACTCATCCTCCGCTCATCTATTTTACAGAATCAAATAACTTCAACTCCTGTCATCAAACCTCATATGGGTAGATCAGTCTTTAGCAGTCCTTTAGTCTGTAACAACCATTGATAGTCTTGAACAGAAAGTGTTGTTGAAGCTACTGGAGAAGGTGTGTTTCCAAAGAGGAGGAATTAACCAAGAAGAGCTGATTGGTTTGAAAGTTAGGATGAATCTGAGCGCCGAAAATCCTCCAAGAGAAGGAAGTTATCGATGAAAAGATGGAAATAGGATAAAAGTTATATATTTGTGTGCTCTGAGATCATGGTGGTGACATTGAAGAGGGCTGAAATGATCATTTTCAACTGTTGATCAGGGTAGAGCTAGAGTGCGCCAAGGTTGGCCTTAGTTCTACCAGCACATCAACCTCTGACTACAGCAGGAGGCGCTGTGCTGAAAGAAGTCGAGGACTTCAAATACCTGGGCTCATGGGTCAACTCAACTGAACAAGATCTAAAAGTGAGGAAGGCACTTGCATGGAGAGCCCTGAACGGCATGACCAGTGTATGGAACTCCAACCTCCCCCGCCTAATCAAACTCAGCTTCTTCTACGCGACAGTAGGGTCCGTTCTCCTCTATGGCAGTGAATGCTGGACCCTGAAGCCAACCCTGGAGAAATCCCTAGATGGGTGCTACACCAGGATGTTGCGTGCAGTGCTTAACATCAGCAAGAACGCACATGTAACCGACAGAACACTGTACGAGGGAATACCAAGGGTGAGCGAGAAGATTGCTGTAAGGAGAATGAGACGAGCAGGACACTGCCAAAGGCATCAGGAACTGCCAGCCAGCAAATTGGTGCTGTGGGAACCAACACATGGGCATCGGTCAAGAGGACGTCCTACACTATCATACGTGGACATACTCAAGAAGGATGCCGGAGCTCAGAGTACCAACGAACTGGCGAGATGTATGGAGAATCGGGATGACTGGAAGTGACGATGGAAGGCTCGTCTGAGGACGACCTAGAGGGATCCCCTTTATTTTAAAAGACACCCAGATTTACTGCGATCTTGTAGATCTTGTCCTGGCATCAGGACATACGTTGACTCCTAACCAAACAATTAGCTGGACTCCCAGAAACAGGCTGAGTCCATTTAATTGGCATTTAAGGTTGATAGGTCATCCACCTTGTCGTTTCTTTAAGCCTCTGTCGCACTGCGAAGAAAATATCATGATAAACATTGACGTCTAGAAGTGGAAAAATGATAGCAACCATATGTTTTGTGGAATTACTAGCAATAGTTATCTGTAATCATATACATTCATTTAAAACATAGTGTCATCATCACCATCCAGTCTGCATCAGCGCTCAGACAGCCTCCTCCAGATTAAACCTCTGTGCAGATAAGTAGATCAGGGTGGACCAGAGAAACAGATGGACAGAAAGGAGGAAGGAGAATGTAAAGGGGGGGGAGGGAGGAGGAGAGGAGCCACAGACCCCCACCCCTCCAACTTTGTGTCCATGACAGTATGTGCAGTCAATCCATCAGTATTTTCTAGGTCGCCCGGTCCGCTCATCTGTGCAGTAATCTACCCCTGTATATATGCAACAGCGATGATCCACTGTGGCACATCCAGACCTCAGACAGATCGTTCATTCAAAAACTCCGAGCTACGTAAATGATGATGTTTCAGTCGCTGGAATATCATCAAATTTAGTGGAAAAATAGGCTATAAATAATCCTGCGGTCTTTCAGTATGGAGCTGCTGTCAGGGGGAACATTTGCTGCTTAAATTGTGAATCATCATATCTGAATATAACACGGCCGATACACGGCAATCTGCTGCTCTGATGCCAAAATGCAAATGACGTAGTTCACTGAATTTAGATAAGGGCAGTAAGTGAAAAGACGACATCATACCGACTTCTATCCTAATTATTCATGACCTTTATCTCATTACAGCTCGCTTTAAAGCACCTCATTTATCACAGATGTATGTCTGATGATTTATTCATGTTAGGGTTATGAATGCTGAGGTTAAGTTAGAAAGTCTTTGTTGGTTCCTTTCTTCTTCTACAAACTGTGAAGCACAGATCAAACCCTCGGCTGTTTGATTTCAGCAGATTAAAAAAAAAAAGGCTTAGCCGGCCTTCATCAGACCTGCTGTGGAGCTCTGAGCTGCAGACCAGGCAGGAGAGGATGCACCACAGCAGAGATGACTGTAGATGTTCAGCATGAACATCTGGAGGAGGCTGCTGGAACCTCCTCGGGTTTTACAGCCTAGAGCTGAACAGAGAACAAAAGAGGAGCTTTATGCTGGGGTAACTTTTGTTCAAAATGACAGCATCATGATCCTGCCGTACCTATATCCTGTCCTAGAAATGCTCAAATACTCATCTGTGGAACAAGTCTGCAGTTCAGAGAAATTGGGCTTTTGTGACGTCTCGAATCATCCACTGCTGCAGCGAAGACGGGTCTGTTTACATGCTTGATTGAGCCCTTGTCTCCTCGGGTGTCATCTTCTCGAATAGATGTGATCACACATGAGCAAGAGAGCGGGATGAGGAGGAAATGAACTGATGGAGCAAATTGCTTCATCTAAAAGAATACAATACAGCCTTCTTGATGGGTGCAAAGACATCGATTTGATGATTCAGTTTGTTTGGGTAAATATTGTGTGTATATTTTTGACAGTCCCTTTATTTCCTTTGTTATGCTGTTTTCAAGCCATTTGTTTGTCAACCAGTTAAATCAGAGCGCACAAAATTTACATCTTAGAACAACAAGATATGATATTTATTCTGTTTGCTTATAGCAGAGGAATTCAGGAGGTGTGAAGAGGTGAATGAGCAGGTATGAATGAATGAGGAACTGAGATTGAAAAAACTGAGCGGCAAAGAGAGAGAGAGAGTGATGGTGAGGGATTATTGCTGTTCAGTGGGTTAATCTGTCCATGTAGTAAACAGCAGTAATCTCACGGCCTGCCGGACGCGTCTGCCCTGGGAACGCTGCCCCTCCAGACAGATGGCCACACACACACTCACTCACACACACATTAACATCCAGCACACACAGATTTACATGTACACCCGGCAAGAATCAGGAGCCGGGACAAATGCTCACGTTCGCAGTCGGGCAGAAGACAAACACACGTGCACCACTGCGAATACCGAATATCACTACCGCTCACTGAGGGACACTACAAATCAGATTTACTATCAATCTACCATAACTGTGTGTTTACTTCACTTTATTTCTAAGACAGAATTGACTATGTAGCAAGTCATATATGTCTAATATATCTGGGTCAAACTGCAGAGGGTAGTGTCACTCTAACTGCAAAGAGATAAAGAAATCATTCACTTATCAAGCCTGAACCCGAACCTCACAGCTCAGACTCAACCACATGAGAGCTTTCCTGAAATGAGTCTGTGCAAAACAGTGGCGATTGCTCTAAGACTGCAAGGGAAGCTCGGCTTCCCTTAAAATGTCACCCCCCAAAAAAAAGAAAAAGTGGTGAAATACGTACTGCTGTGTGTACATTTCATTAACTAAATACGCACTAGAAAGCCTTCATCTTTTGTTCAGACACTGTGATAAGAAGCTGATAATTATAGGTAACCGGCATAACTTCGTTCTCATTCATCCTCGCAGCGCCTCAGCGCTTTAAACAGCCGGACGCTGGGCTTCTGCTGACTTCAATGTGGAAGCTGAAAGTGGGTTGTTCCAGCAGCGAAACTAGACGCTCATTGGATAAATGCTGGGCTTTGTCCCGCCCAATGGAAGCTAAGCTTCACTGGAGTTCTATGGCGAGAGGGCGGTCCCGACTTTCTCCCGGACTGCAAGCTTCTGCATCCATGATTGGATGAGCTGTCTGAGGCGAAATCCTTTTTTGATTGACAGCTAAACAAGCGAATCAGCGATCTTGAAGAATAAAACATCTACCAGAGCATTTTCCAAGTCATTCATTCCGTTGTTCTTAACTGCTCCGGAGACTTTACCGATCCTCAGCGACTTCTGTCTTTATTAAAAACGACTGCCGTTGTGTTTGGCGACTCTGTTCTGTTACATACTAATAAACAAATACAATTATGATGTAGGCCAGAAAAATGAGCTTCCCCTCATTGAAAGACCAGCAGCCGCCACTGGTGCAAAAGTGTAGTTGGACATGTTCATATCAGGGACGAATAGACATGAAGAACTAATGTCAGGTCAGATTATACAGACTGAGGAGGCGTCAGCAGAGTTTGGACTCCAGGTTTACATTGAAATGAACTTTATAAAGTTCAGTAGGCTGTTCAAACCCTCTACGTTTGTTTGCTTTGTAACCTTGAGCACTGAATTAATTCTGTGACTCATTATAATTTCCTTTTGTTCTTTCTGTCTCCTGAACCCAATTAGTGAGCATTAAACTGTCCCTGTGTGTTCTGCAAAAATACATCTGAGAGGGGGTTAGCTGCCAAGACAACAGTGTTAACACACCTGCATGTCCTCTCTGCTCTTATTCACTGCACACTTTCTCTTTGTCGGTCTAAAATTTAAAAAAATGTAAAAGCTGCTATTTTTACTGTTTTTTGCCACTTTTATAAATCAGTAGTTCAGAAAAAAACAAAAAAAGAACAAAAGGTTGTCGTCTTTTTTTATCCTGCTCTCCTGTTTCCATCAGAGCTGTGGTGATATGTCGGGCAGCTGGCTGACATTTAAGTGCTTTACTATAGACCCTCCGGATGTTGAATGGTGCATGCTGGGTAACTAGGTTATTCCAGAAAAAAAGGTAGTAATCCCCCCGGTAACAAATGAGCAAGCAAAGTACACTCACAGATGTGCAGATATGTGTTCTTAGAGAATATTTTCAGTGAGTCTGATCTTGTACCAACTCTGTATTCTCTTGTATTTGACCCCGATCCTTCACTTTTATGAGCATTTAAATTATCTGCTTCTTCTTTCAGACCGTCTTTGTAGCCTAAATAGCAGTGCCGTAAACTGCAGTCAGAGCGGACCTCTTGAGACAGGTCTGTGTTGTAAAGATGCCAGATCTAATCAGGAAGTGTCGAGCTCCCCTCCCACACCGGGGGATTTAACTAATTTGGATCCAAGTATAAATGTTTTGGCTGGATTATAATAAAAGTCGGCAGCCAAGAATCTTAAAATAGTTTGTTTCTCAACATCTTAAACGTTAAATGTCTTAAATGTTGGTGACGGGTTTGTTTTATCGAGCACCAGAGTTTGGACTGTTTCTGTCAACGTTGTTGTTGTCTCATCTCTTTGTTTTGTTTCAGTGAGTCATTAAATAAAGATTATATCCAGTTATTATGATGGATTCACTCTGAATGATCTTGTCTCTGTGTGTTACAGTATGGACGGTCAGACAGCTACCGCGTGGCCACCACGCAGGACAAGGATGAGAAGGAGTCACCCAAGAAGAAGGGAGGCAAGGATCTGGATGACCTCAAGAAGGAAGTTCCCATAGTACGTACACCGCATCCCGCTTCCTCTGACCTGACTCTTGACTGGAATTTACCCACTTAGTGAAGCAGATCTGTGACATCAAGATTCCCCAAAAGCCTCATTTCAAATCTGGGCTTAACTAATCAGGTGTAAAAAGCCTCTGAGCCCCAGCTGAGGACTTCATAGATGGAGCATCCTGGACTCCCCCCAGCTTTCTGAGAGCAACTGTGATATAATCTCCCAGTTTAAAAGGATATCACAGAGACGGGGTGTTCAAGAACAGCTGCTGTACTGCGGTTCAGTTCCAGGTCGCCTGCCAGAACAATTTAATCTTATTGTGGAAGGATTTGTCCCTGGATGGGGCAGGAAGCCAAACCCTCAGGAAATCCCTTTGTCATAAAACGATACGAGCCTAGTTAAGATACGCCAATCAGAAAATACCTGAGTGTCTTTGTAATGTACCTCTTTATTTTAAAACTTATTAAAACCGACACCAAACCAGCGTCTAGTATGTAGACGTCTTTACATCCTCATGTAGGATTGATCAGATCTCAGGACAAACCTTGATATGTTGTTCTGAAATGTAATGCTACTTATGTGTCATCATGATATTTTCCTTAAAATGTGATGTCTTTTTGACATATTTCAGGAAGAGAATAGATAGTGTCTAGCATTAAGTCCATTTCCCAGATTACTTAAGAAAAAAATGTATTTTGTTCCCTGACATTTATAACGTACAACAAACTGTTAAAACAAGAAACCTGTTTTTGTTCTCCTCTGGTTTGCTCTGATTTTATTCTTTTATTGAATCATTTGAAACAGATTCACAAGACGCCCTTACAAAGGTGTCAAGGTTTTAACATAGAAGAAACTCTTCACTGTTAATATGCAATAGCAGCTGAGGATACTACAGAATATTGGTGTTTTTGAACTGATATGATTCCTGACATCTTTGTAAGTTTCTCTTTCTGTTTTGATTTTTTCGCAGACTGAACACAAAATGTCCGTTGAAGAGGTTTGCCGGAAGTACAGCACTGACATCGTCCAGGTGAGTTTGTGTGAGGAGGAGAAGAAAAAGCAGAATTCCTGGTTAGTTTTTCTCTTCTTCTCTCCTTAACCCATTTAAACCGGGACAGCATGTACCAATTTCAACCTTACAAGCCGGCGGCGCCGCTGCTGCGCATTTCTACCCTTTAGGCCGGGAGCGCGGATACGTCATTTTGTAACATTCTGTAATATTTCATATGAGTTTGTTTGTTCAAAGTTTTCAATAATGTGATGAAGGGTCAGAAAAATAAAAGAACGTTATCTTAGAAGCCACACATGTAAGCTCTCAAATACTTTTTGAATTGTGTTTCTATCTGCTACAGAGGCGGAGATCTCAGTTTTATTTTTAAACCTCAACCCTTCAGAAAACCTCAGGGTCTGGGGGCCCTTCTCAAAACGGCCCCCAGGATTTCCGAGGCGTGTCTCAGACACGGTTCAGGTCTTACTGGGTTAAACATTCACTATATTTACCACTTCTGCTCCTCCTCAGGGTTTGACCAACGCCAAGGCAGCAGAGTACCTGGCCAGGGACGGCCCCAACGCACTGACCCCGCCCCCCACCACCCCAGAGTGGGTCAAGTTCTGCCGCCAGCTGTTCGGAGGCTTCTCCATCCTGCTGTGGATCGGCGCCATCCTCTGCTTCTTAGCCTACGCCATCCAGGCTGCCACGGAGGACGAGCCCGCCGGAGATAACGTGAGTGGAAAGTCGAAGGACGGATGAAGACAATATGATGAATTTTCAGCCTGAGGCTGTTTGTGTCGCTTCTGAGTGGAGTCAGATCTCCAAAAGCACCAGAGGGGGGGACACGTGGAGAGCGATGAGCTGGTGGTCATGCCTGTGAGCTCGCTGTCCTCCAGTGCATTAAAAAAAAACGCTGAGTCACTACTCTTCAGTGGTAAATGATGTGTCAGCGGTTTGTCTGAGTCATGACCCGTCTTCAGTGAGACAGACGCCATCCTGTTAACATCTGTTTTTTTGGCGGGCCACAGGGGGTGAGTGACTCATGGTGCTGATAATGGCGGGCTAAGAGGAGGGCGCTCACGGGTCAGCTCTGTTTCATGTCGGGTCAGAGCGCAGCAAAGAGCCCGGGACTGAGGCTAAACAGACATGACACACACAGTATGAAGAGATGCTCGGATCAGACCACCGGGGGGTGACTCCGGGTGAGACACAGACAGTGAGGAGTTAGCGTGAGAGGCCAAGACTGACGATCTGACACTGCCTAAATGCTCAGAGTGAACCCTGATAACTGACTGCACCAGTGTCTCATGGTACTGGATTAGAAAAGGTGCTCAGTGGGAGGAGGAGGAGGAGGTCTTCTCAGGAGTCATAAAACTCCCTGAAGAGCAGACAGACAGCAGACGGGTAACTCTCAGGTGAATTAGTCCAAATCCATTCTGCTGAAAAGACAGAAGGAGACTTCATTTAGCTTTAGGATTCAAGTTTAACTGAAGCTGCAGGTTCCAAATATTGATCTTCAAGTTTTTCCCTCTGCTGGTTGATTTCTCTCCTCCTTTCAGATACATTTGACAAAGCTGAAATCAGTCAACAAATTTCTGTATTAAACGTAGAAGTTGTGTGTTTTTTCCTTCTCTTCTCTCTCCAGCTGTATCTGGGTATCGTGCTGTCGGCTGTCGTCATCATCACAGGATGCTTCTCCTACTTCCAGGAGGCCAAGAGCTCAAAGATCATGGAGTCCTTCAAGAATATGGTCCCTCAGGTACTGGACACTGGTTTGTTGGTCTGATTGGATTTTAGGAAAGTAGTGGGTTGGCGAGTTTAAACTTTAATAGGTATTTAAAGTGAAATGATTTAAGCTCAACAACATACAAGGGGTGTAAAGATTCACTGACTCCTTCAGATCTGATCAGGGTTTATAATGTACCGTTGTTCTTTTTGTTCTCAGCAAGCCCTGGTGATCCGAGAGGGAGAGAAGATGCAGATCAACGCCGAGCAGGTGGTGGCAGGAGACCTGGTGGAGGTGAAGGGAGGAGACAGGATCCCCGCTGACCTCCGCATCATCTCCTCCCATGGCTGCAAGGTGAGACGCAGAAACACTTCTCATGGAAAACTTAAGAGTCTATTTTCAGTCGGGTTTCTCCAGGGTATCAGGCACTTAGAAAAAGGATCCTGGAACAACTTTATTTATTGTTTACCTGAAGGCTGGTCGAGGTTTTTATGAAAAATAATGTCTGGATGGAAGAAACTCTGCAGAGAAATACAAACAATCATCAGGGGAACAGCAAACATGGAAGAAAAACGAGACAGTAAACACAATCTGTCCTTCTACCGGGCTGTTTGGCTCTGAACCAGTTACCTCTCCCTTCACACACACTAACCCTCTCTCTCTCTCTCTCTCTCTCTCTCTCTCTCTCTGTGTCTATCCATCCAGGTGGATAACTCATCCCTAACCGGTGAATCCGAGCCCCAGACCAGGTCACCTGACTGCACCCATGACAACCCCCTGGAGACCCGCAACATCGCCTTCTTCTCCACCAACTGTGTTGAGGGTGAGACCCCAAACTGAACCCATCCCTGTTCTCGTCCTCCGTCATAGTTCCTCTCTTTCTTCTGCGTGTTTACCTCCATTCAAACGGCTGTATCCGTGATTTTGTACTGTTCTGGTTCAGTGAGCAGACACTTGTGCAAACACAGACACTACACCTTCATCTGCTGTCACAGTCGGCCACACGGGACGGTGACGTCAGCAGGGAGAGCAGTGACTGGAAATTTGACCTCATGTAACCCTGTACCTGTTCCACTCCACTTCAGATCATCACGTTCCTGAGAAGCTCTGCATCTTTGGCAGCGCTCCTCAGGGTGGGAGAAAGGAAAATAATGATGTATACTGCCCCCGTGTGGGCATACAGCAACATTACATTCAGTCAGTGATGAGCCTCCCAACCACAAGTTCATGAATCCCCCTCCATTGAACAGATATTATTTTTGAGTATCATCTTTAATCCTCCTTCTCTCTGTCTTCAGGAACCGCTCGTGGTATCGTCGTGTGCACCGGTGATCGTACAGTGATGGGCCGTATCGCCACCCTCACCTCAGGCCTGGAGACTGGCAAGGTACCATATCCACTATAATGCACTTTGAGAAACGGTGTCGAACAGTCCTTCAGCCTCCTCTAACTCTTTGTATCCACCTCCGCTCCTCAGACGCCCATCGCCAAAGAGATCGAGCACTTCATCCACATCATCACGGGCGTGGCCGTCTTCCTCGGCGTGACCTTCTTCGTCCTGTCTCTCATCCTGGGTTACTCCTGGCTGGAGGCCGTCATCTTCCTCATTGGTATCATTGTGGCCAACGTGCCGGAGGGACTGCTGGCCACAGTCACTGTGAGTACAGAAAGGGAGAGAAAGTGTGTGCGTGTGTGTGTGTGTGTGTGTGTGTGTGTGTGTGTGTGCGACAGTTACCAGGACATAAGTGAAGAAATGTTTGAGTTATTTTGTTTCCTCTTCCGTTTTGCACAGAGAAGAAGCCGATCAGAAAACACATGTATTAACTTTGACTGACAGTTTTGTGTTAAAGCGTTTTTAAAGTTGTATGAAATGTCTCGTCTTCATCTGGACAATAGTAACTGAAGTTTGAGCTCATAGAGAAGCAGCACTGGAAACATACTTGGTATTTATGATAACCTCTCGTATTACTCCAGGTTGTCCAATATGGGTCAATAAATCAATTGTTGTTGGGGTAAATCGATTATCAGGATCAATTTCTAAATTTGGTTGATTATCGGTATCAGCCTTTGATTGCACACACGGTCAATAAATTAACTGATCAGAACTCGGGCTCAGCTGCTGGTGTGTCTTTCCCTCTGGGTCTGTTTTCTTGCACCAGTTTCACTCGCCTACTGCCCGCCAACAACACTCTCTGATTGGCTGTCATGTCTCTGTGCTGAAGGTGTAACTGGTTGACTGTTAACTTTGTCTATAATGTTGAATATTTCAGTTTTAATTGAACATTTGTTAAAGGTGTTTGGGTAAAATTTGGTGTTGGATTTTGTAAATTTAATCTAAAGTTCTTCATATTTCTGTGTGAATATTTATCGGTTCCTAATGTTGGTTCTCAGTCTCATGAACTGCTAATAATCAGTATAATCAGCCTATAATATAATCAACCTCAGTCGAGCCCCACTTTGTTGTTTCATCCATGTCTGGTTGTGTACACTGTCCTGGCTGATGTTGTGTTGTTGTTGCTGTGTTTGTTGTGTGATTCTGACTCTGCTTTTTGTATCTCTGTGCTTGTTTTTTTGTGATGTGTTGTTGTTGTGCCGATGTTGTTTATCGATGTGCATTAATATTCTCTCTCTGTGCCGGTTGTTTGTGTTTCTGTGGTGCATATATTGTGTGTTCTTCTTTCCATCACTCTCTTCTTTCTCTCTCTCTCTCTCTCTCTGTCTCTTTCTTTTAATGCAGACCCATATGTGTTTGTTTGTGTGTGTGTCTCTCTCTCTCCATCATCCTCTCTGTATGTTTCTCTCTCTCTCTCCCTCTCTTTTCCAGGCCAGTCACGGTGCTGTCTGCAATGACAACGTCTAGCTAATGTAATGATATTAGGCTCTCATGACTGAATTTGGCCTGCTCTGCTTAGCCTTGGCTAGTTCTGTTTGGTCCATGGGTCCTGCCATGATTGGCATGATAGCACATGATGCACCGCTGCTCTGCTTCACCGCTTCATTGGTCATGCCTCATATTCTCTCTCTGCATCGCTGTTTTGGCTGTTTTTGATTCATTTTTGGAAATAGGTTAGGCTATATCATTTTAGTGCATTTTGCTCTAGAGGGATATTTTTAAAGCAGGTTGAGTATCTCCAGGTTTAAAGATGTTTTTTTTGTTGTTGTTTTTGCTTGAATGTTTTGATTATGGAAGGTAGGGCTGGGCGATATGAGCTAAAAATAAAACCTGTTTTATTTTACAAAAAACTTGATAGATAGTTTTTGTTTTGTTTTCTCCTAAAAATAAAACTACAGATGACAAAGACATGACTGTGAACACTAGGGGTGGGAGAAAAAATCAATTCACATAAGTGTGGCGATTTTTCTTTTACAAAATTTAAATTGATTTTTATGTTGTTTTTTTTTTCAAATTTAAGGATAAATCTTAAAAACTGACTTAAGGTCCTTTCACACCGGGAGCATTTTTTCGTGCGATTATTTCAGACGTCAATATTTTTTCCGAACCCGCATCCTGTCAATACAAGCGTTGCGGCATTTATTTTTTCGTAGCACAGTCGAATTTTCTTAAGTTTCGCATACTGTGTGTCCACTTCTGACCAATCAGATTTCGTGTTGTTGCGACGTCTGATTCACCTGTATATCCAACATGAACCGGCTGATTGTTTACGTGTCGGAGAACAGAGTGATTTTTGATAAAAGACACAAATATTACAAAGATAACGACCTGAAGGACAACTTGTGGAGAGTCATAGTGTCAGATTTCTCATATGACGATGGTTTGTGAGCTTTAACAGTTTGCTAAACGTCTTTGTTTTAACTTTTATCTGTGCTAAGTAACTTTAGCTCGTAAGCTGACCTGTTCAGATACAACATATCATATGTATTTCACTGTCTCAAACTCAATCACAGCGTTGCTGTCACAGCACCATTAGGTCTCGGTTGTTACCTTACGTTTATGGATTATAGTTTAATGTTCTTATCTGGTACTGGTCCCGACTCAGTACATGCTATCATGACAGACAGACATCTCAACACTAGAGTCTAATCAGAACTGAAAAACACTCAGTCTGCTGTTGTGTCAGTCTTCTCGCTTCCACCCGGGACACATCATATTTTCCCCTTGGAAAGTTGCAAAAAAGCATCGCGCTTGATGTGTACAGTCAGGTGCGTCAAAATTCGCCTCCAAATATTTCGTAATTTTGCATCGTATATTTCCGTCGTTCCCGGTGTGCAAGGACCTTTACATGTGATGTGTGTTTTTTGGGGAAATAGGTTCCTGGATTAGTCAGTAGACAATCATAATCACTCAACTGATTCACTGGTGTTAAAAATGCAGACTTAAAATCGAGAAAATCTGCATTATCTAAAATCGCCATTTAAATCAGATCGGCATCCAAAAAATCACACAAGAATCAAATCGGGAGAAAAGCATATTGTTCCAGCCCTAGTGAACACTGTAGTTTATTTTTAGGTCTGACACTGTAAAACTACACCAGTTCCAAACGACTGATGAGACTCTGCCTTTTTGGCGGGAAAAACTCAAAGCAGCAGAAGAATTTAGAGAGAAAAAAAATCCCCAAAATTATCATCAGTTTACCTGACAGGGTAAATCTTAAAAAAACACAAATTCAAATGAATGATTAAATCGATTTATCGCACAGCCCTGGCCGTATGTGACTGCTTTATCTGCAGAAGTCAAACACCTGGAGATGTTCACCTGTGCTGTGAGTTTCCTGCATACTATAAAAACTAACTGTTGTTTCTCTTTCTCCTTTCTCTTTTTTTGTCCGATTTTATCGTCAACAACTTTTCTCCTCCCGTCTTTCTTCCTCTCCTTCTTGTGACTCTCTCTCTCTCTCTTTGCGATCTCTCTCTCTCTCCTTTGTCTCTCGTCCCTCAGGTGTGTCTGACACTGACCGCGAAGCGAATGGCTCGTAAAAACTGCCTGGTGAAGAACTTGGAGGCCGTGGAGACGCTGGGCTCCACCTCCACCATCTGCTCCGACAAGACAGGCACCCTGACCCAGAACAGGATGACCGTGGCCCACATGTGGTTTGACAACCAGATCCATGAGGCCGACACCACTGAGGACCAGTCTGGTAAAACTGACCCCGTTCTCCTATCATGCAGCAGGACTAAAAACCATATATTAGATCTGTTAATCTAGTTTATTCAAAGAGCAAAATAACTGGTTCTGTTTAAACTAGACGGTCAGAGTTTGGGTTTCATTATCCCGATATTTCTGTGTCCGTTCTCCAGGCTCCTCCTTCGACAAAAGCTCCACAACATGGGTGTCTTTGGCTCGCATCGCTGCTCTGTGCAACCGAGCCGTGTTCAAGGCTGGTCAGGAGTCCCTGCCCATCCTGAAGCGCGAGGTGGCCGGTGACGCCTCCGAGTCGGCCCTGCTCAAGTGCATCGAGCTGTCCTGTGGCGCCGTCAAGGCCATGAGGGACAAGAACAAGAAGGTGGCGGAGATCCCCTTCAACTCCACCAACAAGTACCAGGTCTGTCCCCTTCGTTTATCAACTCAGAACCATTTTACTTCCAATGTTCGGTATTAACTCCACACTTTGTTCCTAACAGCTCTCAATTCACGAGGTGGAAGAGGAAAGTGATAACCACTACCTGCTGGTGATGAAGGGAGCCCCCGAGAGGATCCTGGACCGCTGCTCCACCATCATGGTTCAGGGCAAAGAGCAGCCAATGGACGACGAGATGAAGGAAGCTTTCCAGAACGCTTACCTGGAGCTGGGAGGACTGGGAGAGAGAGTGCTGGGTAAGAACAGAGGACAGGAGAGAGTTTGGGATTATAATGAAGCTCTCTCTGTTTTTGTCCCTCATGTATCACCGATCTTCTCTCACCCTTTCCTTCAGGTTTCTGCCACCTCTTCCTACCTGAGGACAAATATCCCAAAGGGTTCGCCTTCGACACAGATGACGTCAACTTCCAGACGGACAACCTTTGCTTCGTCGGCCTCATGTCCATGATCGACCCTCCTCGTGCCGCTGTGCCTGATGCTGTGGGCAAATGCCGCTCAGCTGGTATCAAGGTGAGCTCCTTTCAGAGCTGGCATTTAAATGTCTGTAAAAGAAGAAGATCACAGCGACACGGAAACGCTGAGTCCTTTTCCATCTTTCCTTGTTCTCTTGACTATCCATTAAAACCGTCTCCTTCATCTCGCTGTTCTCGTCTCCTCCCAGGTCATCATGGTGACAGGGGACCACCCAATCACAGCCAAGGCCATTGCTAAGGGCGTTGGCATCATCTCTGAAGGCAACGAGACAGTCGAGGACATTGCTGCACGCCTCAACATCCCTGTCAGTCAGGTCAACCCCAGGTAAGACAAGATTTCAAGATTAGACCGCAGGTTAAAAGTGGGTTTTTAACATGAGGGATAAACTTTTTACTTCAGTTTATTCTTGAAATATAAAAAAGATTCTCAGTGCTCTGCTTCATCTTTGTTCTGCAGGGACGCAAAAGCCTGTGTGATCCACGGCACAGACCTGAAAGACCTCTCCCAGGATCAGATGGACGACATTCTGAGGAACCACACAGAAATCGTCTTTGCCAGAACCTCCCCGCAGCAGAAGCTCATCATCGTCGAGGGCTGCCAGAGACAGGTCCATTCACTGTTCACGAGTGTCTACTGTATGAACACACATCTGATTTGATGACCTCTTCGACGAGAATGAAAGCCATTAACTGCGGGTCGTCCTTTTCTCATCAGGGGGCCATTGTGGCCGTGACAGGTGACGGCGTGAACGACTCTCCCGCTCTGAAGAAAGCCGACATCGGTGTTGCCATGGGGATCTCCGGCTCAGACGTGTCCAAACAGGCCGCAGACATGATCCTGCTGGACGACAACTTTGCCTCTATTGTCACTGGAGTAGAGGAAGGTGAGGAATGAAGAAAGGAAGGAAGGAGAGGGGAGGGGAAGAGGGAGCAGTTAGTCAGAGAGCAGTCAGTGTTATAAATCCTGGACAGTTCACTTTCTATGGGCCACAAAAAGACTGTCAGTGTCATCTTGGGTGTGGGGTCTTCTTCTCATAGAGGTGACCCGTGCTGAGCAGCATGTCCTTTGTCTCCTAACAGGCCGCCTGATCTTCGACAACCTGAAGAAGTCTATCGCATACACTCTGACCAGCAACATCCCAGAGATCACTCCCTTCCTGTTCTTCATCCTGGTCAACATCCCTCTGCCTCTGGGCACCATCACCATCCTCTGCATCGACCTGGGAACAGACATGGTAAAGGACAGCTGACATCTAACTACAGTCTGACACTCTGAGACTGTCAGCAGCAGCATCTAGTGTGTTTGTATCCAGTCAGGCAAACTAATGCTAATGCAGGTGGTCCTATACGCTTAATCCTATTACACGCTCGCATGACTGACCAATGAAAAGTCATGCATGCACAGTGAACCAATAATGCACAGTGTGAACCCTCCTGTTTACTGTGAACATGTCAGGCAGGTGCTCAGTTGGCAAAACATTAAGTGGTCATACCTGGTATTCAATAACAGAGAAACACAGCGGTGTTCAGCTGAGGACGAGCTGAATGTTCTGTTACATGAATCAAAGTGACATTTAAAGAAATTGGTGTAAAATCACAGAGATGTCAGAGACACTGAACATTTGAATAGAACTGAAAAGATGTGCAGAGATGACCGGAGTAAAACAGGCCACTAGATGGCAGTGTGGGCCCTTCCTTATTCTCATGCTCGGGGCGTGATAAAATAAACCAGAGAGGAAAAAATAATAAATGAAAACTCCAGTGAAACCATTTTGACCAGACTGTCCCCTCTTTTTCAGGTACCAGCCATTTCTCTGGCCTACGAAGCAGCAGAGAGCGACATCATGAAGCGTCAGCCCAGAAACCCTCTGAGGGACAAACTGGTCAACGAGAGACTCATCAGCATCGCCTACGGACAGATTGGTGGGCACTATCAACAGAAAATAAAAACTGCAAACTTAATAACCTGTATCATTATTAGATCATCTAACTCACAGCTAACGGTGTCTAATCTGACTGCGAACATATGTCGGTCTCTACAGGAAATAATCGTGTCATTGTGTTTGATCAATAATTGACGTCGATCTCCGTCTGTGTCTGCAGGAATGATCCAAGCTCTCGGTGGTTTCTTTGCGTATTTCGTCATCATGGCTGAAAACGGTTTCCTGCCAGCTCATCTCGTCGGCATCCGGCTCAACTGGGACGATCGCTCCACCAACGACCTGGAGGACAGCTACGGACAGCAATGGGTGAGAAAAGAAATCCTCCATGAGATCTATGAGATACAGAAAAAGGTCAATGCTGTTTAAAATAAAGCTCTGACAGAAGACGGCGTCTGTCTAACACGCTGTTTCTCTTTCTGTTTCTCTGCTCAGACCTACGAGCAGCGGAAGATTGTCGAGTTCACTTGTCACACAGCCTTCTTCGTCAGTATCGTGGTCGTGCAGTGGGCAGACGTCATCATCTGCAAGACCAGACGTAACTCTGTATTCCAGCAGGGCATGAGGTGAGTAAAAACACCCGTTAGAGTCAGTTTAACTCGACAAAGTTACCTTTTAGACGTGTAAACAACCTGTGATGAAGCCAGAACATGTCTGAAACATTTAGCGAGAACTCAGTCTCATCTGTTCACTCTCTCCTGTCTGCGTTTGTCGTCTTGCAGGAATAAGATTTTGATCTTCGGTCTGTTTGAGGAAACGGCTCTGGCTGCTTTCCTGTCCTACTGCCCTGGCATGGACGTGGCACTACGGATGTACCCACTCAAGTAAGAACGGCCACACAAACCGAACATGTCAACATTGAATCAGGACTACAAAAAAACAATCCTGTAACAAATAAGTTAAAGTCATAAAGTCGACCTTCTTCTCCTCCGTTTTCAGGCCCAGCTGGTGGTTCTGCGCGTTCCCCTACAGTTTCCTCATCTTTGTTTACGATGAGATCCGAAAACTCATCCTGCGTCGAAACCCTGGAGGTAAGAAAACTCGCACACTCAGAGAATCAGAGACGAACATTTAGAGTCGTTTTCTCCTCCTAAAAAAGGAGAAAATTCTCCTCCTAATTTGTGCATTTTTTTAATCCATCGTTCTATGAAAAGAGGCGATTAAAACAACTGTTCAGTATTAATCTTTTAAAGTAATCATCCAAAAATCAGATTTGAAAATTCACCAGGAACAACATGATAACATGGTTTTATCTCTGATTATAAACACACACCTCTCTCTCTCTCTCTCTCTCTCTCTCTCTCTCTCTCTCTCTCTCTCTCTCTCTCTCTCTCTCTCTCTCTCTCTCTCTCTCTCTCCCTTTTTTCCCCTCCTTCTCTTCTCTTCCTCTCTGCAGGCTGGGTGGAAAAAGAAACGTACTATTAAATTATCAAAGCACCGTTTACTTCTCACCACCTTCCTCCCTGAAACTCATCCCTCCTTCTCTCTCTCTCCCCCTCCTGTCTCTCCGTCTCCCTCCATCTATCCCTCCACTCCTCGCCAACACACTCAAACTTTACAAGAAAACTGTTTACTCTCCCTCCTCATCCTCCCATCTTCATCCCTTAAAGAAACAAAGAAAAAAACAAACGCCAAGACAAAAAAAGAGGACCAACGACAGAGGAGGAGAGGAAGCGTGGAGATGCGTTTGTGTCTCCTCCTGTCCTCTCTCTTCCTCTGTCTTCTTTTTTCTACCCAAAGTCTTTACAGCTCTAGTCTGCCAGTAACACTGTCGTGCCGATGTTTCCGACCGCACTGTTAGCCGCGGCCTCTCTTCATACGTGTGATAAACAGTAGAGTTAGCGAAAACCAAGATGAAAACCTGACTGTTCCACTGCGATCACTCGTGCCGAGCAGAACAACAACAACAACAACAACAACAACAACATGGCAGCTCCCGCCTCCCGGAGCGGAGCGGGTGGGTGTTTGTTAGCCACCGGGATCCAGCTCTTCAATCACTGCCATTTCCCGCCATTCGCCTTCAAACAGCTCGACTTGTCTCTCTTTTTCTATCACTGCCAAACTTCTACTGCCGTTTTTTCTCTCCTCCTCCTCCCTTTCTCTCTCTTCCTCTTGAACCTGTAAAGAATCAGTGTCACTCTAAAACATCAGCACCCGCCCACTCGTACCCTCATCAGGGTTGAAAAAGGTCCCCCTCCCTCCCTCCCTCTCTCTCTCTCTCCTCCCGTGTTGTTTTTTTTTCTGCTTGTGTTGTTGTTGTTTTCTTATAGACAGCTGGGTGTTTTTTAAAAAATCTAAACTGTTTGTAAAAGTTCGTTTGTTTTCTTTTTTTTTTTTGAAAGTTCGTTGTGGGTCTGAGAGCTGCTTGTTTTCATTCGGACATGACAAAGCACACTGTCCCTTCCTCCTCTCCCTCCCTCTATCTATATATATATCACTCCCCCCTTTACCTCCCCTCTCCTCACCCTGCCTGTCGATCTGTTCCCGTTTGTCTGTTTGTTTGTGAACACCGTGCAAACCCTCCGTCCTTGTAGACTACCACCCACGTTCACCACCTGACTCCTCCTATTCTCTCTCACCTCCCTCAACCCCACCTGGTCCCTCCCTTTAAAAAAAAATACAATCTTTCTGTGTCCTCGGAAAAAGAGATTTCTCTCCGATTTCATTACTTAAATCTGGAAACATGAAGAAAAAAAAGGCACTGTACCTGAACTTGCGAAACAGCAGCAAAAAAAAAAAAAAGAAGCAAATGAAATAAACTAGAAGGATCTCTCTTTTTTCAGTTTGGTCTCCACTTTGTTTTTGTGTGCAGTTTTGTCAGAAAATGGAAATAAATGCTGTGACCAACTCTAAATCATGGCAGCAGTCTTCAGTCATCTGTCGTCTTTCTTCAGTTTCAACATTTCAGAGGAAATGTTATTGCATTACATTTGTTCACCGTCAAAAGGTCCAGAAGAGCGGGGCTGCTGCCTGAGAGGAAAATGAAGATGGATGTCCACGTACCCAAGAAACATGTAGGACGGTATTTTCTGAGAAGACTGTTCCAACAGTGTAGCTCTGTTGTAGTAGAGTCTGGTGCCAACTTGTCCTCTACTGAAAATGTCAAAGGAGACTTAAAACCGTCAGCTTCTCAACAGTTCAGGGAATAAATGACTGTTTTTTATACAACATCCAAACTTTTTTAAATCAGGGTCGTATATTTGGGCATGTCAATGATAAAAAGGAACAAAAAATGTTCAAGTACGTTGCTAGAAAAACTAGAAAGTAAACACAATGGAAATCATCAAGTGAGGCCTTTTTTTCCCTCCTACAGACCCCTAAACAGACTTTGGTGCTACTGTTAATCCAGATTTTATGGTAACTAATAAACAGAGGGGCCTGCAGATGTACTTTTCCTCTTTATGAGGCTGTCAGACTCGTAAAACAACAACGCGAGTCTGTCTGTGGAAATAACAAGCTCTTTTCTTGTGGATGCACTTTGACCAGTTCTCTGCAAGGACTTAGCTGCAGCCTGTTTTTTATGAGGAAACTTTTGTACCCGTTCATCAATTTGTCAATAAGGTTTGTAAGAGTAAAAATAAAAGAGGCAAAGATTTTTAAGTTTCACAGTCACTGTTCGAGTTCAGGACAATCCAGAAGACTTCTGAATCCTTGATTGAGGAACGAGGGACCTCAGCACCTCCTAGCAGCTCTGTGTGACAGAGATGTTCAGGTCACTCTGCAGAGCTTGTAAAGTCGCTCTATGACCTGAAGGAGTTTGCTGAGTGGTCATGGTGAAGTTGGTGTTCAAGCCTGTAATCGGGGTTCCTACGCATGTATGGAAAAGTGTGGAAGTAACTTGATCAGTTTCCAGACTATTACCACGTTTCTAAAATTCCATTTTCTAAAATAGAGAAGTATTTCCAAAAAATAACTCTAAGACGTAGGATATGGAGAAGTACGGAAATTCCAACTGTGTAGGAACCCTGTGTAATGATTAATTTTGGCCACTTGATGGCAGCAGAAACAAGTTTTGAACACAGCAGACCTTGTTCACAGAAAATTCACATTTATGTCTGATTGTTTATTTGTCTGAAGATTCATCATTTAATCAAGACTGGAGCAGCTTTGTGGAGGTGAGTTCAATTTTCTGTCTTTTTATTGTTTTTTGTAAATGAAAATAACTTAAATTTAGACTAAAGACATGTGAAGTTGTTGTTTTAGTCCATTCCTGTGTTACAGTCAGATTAAGAGCTACCTTATCTCTTTACTGATTCTGTCCTGGTCATGATTGGGTCGTGTTAATTATTATAGTATATCAATCTGCCTCTCTTTCACTATGAGATATTGAAAGTCTTTGCTATTTAATATGTTTCTAAAAATTGGTGTTCATAGACTACAGCAGGAATCAAGAAGAACTACATAGAGATACTTTAGTCACTGATAGTTTTCTTTGTTTGTGTCACTCATCAAAAGTCATTAGTGTTCCTGTTATTGTGTTTTAAAGCTCATCATTAGACCAAACAGCAAAACATCATCCATTAAAGAGTAAGTTCCTCACAGCTGTGTTGATTCCTGATGTATCGAGTCATAAAAGATAAGACCTCTTAGTTTTTGTATTTCATTATGAGCTCTTATAAAAAATAAACTTCCTGTTTACATCCTGCTGCAGTCGAGGACCATGAAGAGGCTGTTATTCACTTTGATACTTTAATGCCTTCACTTGTGAATGGATGAGTCAAAATGTTTGTCCTCACACACACAGACACACACACAGTGATTTAGAGCAACTGTGTCTAGTTTCATGAATACTATTACAAGGCTCACAGAGCAAATGATGCTGCTGCTCACTCCACACACACACACGCATATCCTCTGTAACCTAGGGATATAGGTCACCTCTTTTATGGTTTCATTGTTGTTTTTCTCTCCTCTGTTTCATCCTCTCTCTATTCTCACCGCTTCTCATTATCAGTTCAAGACTTTTCTCTTCTAAGGCTCGTTTAGGATTCACATTAACTTTCTAGTCTAAACACAAACAGCTGTAACATTTATGTAAAAAAATAAATCTATACTGTAATGCAAAAGTAAATATAATAAGAAAGAGGACTCTACAAACGACAGGAGCACTTTATTTAGCTAATCTGGTTGTTAGCCGAGCGTGTAGCAACAGTAACTCGACAGCGAATCCTGTTTTAACCATAAATGTTTGGTATTAAATTTGGTAGCAACACATTTACCAAAATATTACTGCTGAATACCGTCTGAAACGTGCTGCACAAAAAAGCTGTCTGACATTAACGGAGCGGTAATAATTCCAGCTATCATCTTTTGAAATGTTTTGACATAATTCACTCTAACTTCCCGGGTTTTTGAGATCACTATTTGTACATAAACTATTCAGAGCAGAGGTGGTTATAAGAGATCTACAATTATTCTGTTTTTACCAGCAGGAGTGGAAAGAGTATGTAATATAGGAGACGCAGCAGTGCAGTCAACCAGAAGATATGACCCCAAATTATTACAGCATGATACTAGGTTGTATGATGATACAGGGGTCTGCTCATAGAGGCCTGTATGAATAGTCAGCTTATCCTGATGGAAACCAGGTTAAAGCTACGTCCACCTTAGTGTCGGTTTGGAGGCGTTTCATTAAAGTGACGCTCAGCTGAAAGTCCCTGGCTCAGGAACGCCAGATCTTTGAGTTTATTTCCAGCTGTCTTGATGTTAGTCTAACGTAAACATGTATGTTATTTATTCACTGAGTGTGAGCTCAGTTGACTGTTAGGGTGCAGTCGCACAGTTGATGCCGATAATGTTGAAAAGCTGCAAGTATCTTTTTTTTTTCCTTCTATTCATTTACTCATTTGCATCAGTTTAAAAACAAGAAACAAAACAGCTAGACTTGAACAAATAGTTTACTAAAAAAAAAAAAAAAATCTGATTTTTGTCTCAGCAAAAAACAGCAACCATTGACCTTTGGGTTTTAACCTTTTTTTTACAATAGAAAGAACTACAAGAATAATATTTGGATGAAAATAAAACATTAAAAAAAGTAGTCATATATAATTCCATCATTCATGCACATTGCAAACTAAAAAACTTAGTTAACATCACCAGTAACATGTTTCATGAAAACAGAATTATGCTGTAGGTTTCAGGCTGATACTGACAGTCAAATCATATATTGACACCCAACATAATATGTCATTAAGTATGTTTTATAATTATTGGTAAAGACATACTTATAATATGTTATGGAGCGCATACAGGTCTAAGACATGAGAACACAGGCATCATAATGAGTAATGATAACTGTATAAATGTTCTTATAACCATGATCACGTTTCACAAGTGTATTCCTACTGTGTTATATTACAGTATAGAGTCAGGCTTCATTGACAGTGATATACCCTACGTTTATAAGGCCTTATGCCCACTTACTTATAACACTTAATTCAAACTGATATCAGCTGTTATGTCTCCTTATAATCTGCTGTTATAATAAAGCCCAATAAGTGTATTTATCAGGTTTTATAAACATGTTTATGATGCATAAGAAGAAATTCAAACACAGCAGCAGAGCTCTCTGTTCACCCTCACCTCTGACTGTAATGTAAGTGATGTCTGTTAGCGCTGGTGTGGGCCGGGCACCCTCGGGTGTGACACGGTGGAATAAAAGTGTTCAATTCATGAGTGAGCACACACACACACACACACACACACAGAGCCAGGAGTCCACTAACAAACATCTGTTAGAATAAGAAAGAGAGGAGATGCCTTATAGCGGTGCAGCTCCACTCCACTCATAATGATGCTCACACACACACACACACACACACCTCTTTCTTATCCACCATAACAACCACACTCAAACACCTTTCCTCTGACACACACACACACACCTTCTCTCAATCTTCTACCCACTTACACCCTCACCCCCTCCCAACTACTGCTACCTCTTTCTTCCAAATCACACACACACACCTTCTCCCAATCTCCTCCCCGATTACACCCGCACGCTAAAACCTCTTTTTTGCACACACACACTTCCACCTTCCTCAAAACCCTTTTTCGTTTCCTCTCTCTCACACACACACACACATGAACACCGGCTCTCTTTTTGTCAACCACTCACCCCCCTCCTCTCCTCCCCTCCTCATATCTCCCCCCTCCTCCTCCTCCTCCTCCTCCCAGTAATCTGGCTGGCCCGTGGCCTCCTCTCTCTCGCTCCACTGTTCTGTGTGATAGAATATCGATCGGTTTGCCTCGGCTCGGCGTGGAGCAGGAGGAGGAGGATGAGGAGGGGGGCGGCTGTAGGGCTAAAGGGAGTGTGTGTGTATGTGTGTGTGTGGAGGGGAGGTTGGTGGTGGTGGGGGGGCAAGTGGTCAGACATGCTCCAAGGTTGTTACCACAGCAACAGCGGGATGGGTCAGAGGGTTGCCATGGTGCCTAGGTCGTAGGGTCAGGGGGAGGGTCCTGGAGGGCTCTATGTGTGTGTGTGTGTGAGAGAGAGAGTGTGTGTGTGTGTGTTAATAGGAGGGGTGGGGGAGAGAGAGGTGTCCAGTCCGGCTATATTGGGTGTGTTAATAATGAATGGTGTTGTATGTGGTCGCTGTCTCTTTCTCCCTCTCTTCCTCCATCTGTGTCTCTCTCAGTGTGTGTGTGTGTGTGTGTGTGTGTGTGTGTGTGTGTGTGTGTGTGTGTGTGTGTGTGTGTGTGTGTGTGTGTGTGTGTGTGTGTGTGTGTGTGTGTGTCACAGTCACACATGAATCAGCTTAACCACACCGCGGTCCGTTTTATTTATTTCCTCATATAAAAATTTACTCTTAGTGGAAAGATTTCACCGCACCAGAGATACACCCGTCAGGGTGAAAACACACCTGTGCAGACACGTGCAGAGATGTGACGTTTTCCTTGTGTTTTTAATCTACGCTGTTTAAACCCCCCATAATTAACTTTGATTCTGTTTAAAGATGTGTGTGTTTTCAGCCATTATTCTCAGATTTTCCCTCGTTGAACTGAACATTTCCTTTAAATGTGAAACTTTCCTGATCAATTCAACATCCCACCAGGTTTCAAACAGATCTTCATGAAGCTTTTTAAAGTATAAGGCCACAAAAAGTCCTAAAAAAAGTCAAATCTGTACTTGTGTTGGGTCTTAAATTTCAGACAAGATGAATTTGAGATATTTGGAATTTAATTGGCAATCACAAACCAGTCAACACTTTTCGACGTTCTCGATTTTAGGCATCGAAATGTATGAAATAAAAACTGTCATTCTTGTTGCCTTTTTTTTGTGTGTGTATTTCAAAACGTAAAAAAAGCTCCTTATTAAAGCTTTAATCCTGTGCTTTTATAAATAGCTGTGTGTCTTAATATTCTCTGCTCTTGTCCTTCAACAGTTCAGTTATTTTTATCGCTGTAAGACGGTAAAAGAGCAAATATAAAAACTGAATTATGCCCTGAGATAATTTATATCTGATCTGAAATGATTGACAGTTTCTAAATTCACGTTTGTTGTCACAGTCTGTAAAGAGTTGACCCACATATAAGCATAAATGTAGTAAACATCCAAAATCATTTATGATAATAATATCACAATAATAATAATATGCTAATGTCAAATGTATCCATACAGCACAAACACACCTATAAACCTAAATGTCCTTAAAGAGGTGATTTGTGGAGCAGAACAGAAATGCAAATAATAATTCAGAATATCAGTGTTGAGTTAAAACTGTTCATGACAAACAAACAGATGTTTAAATTATCTTTCCAGCAGCTGTTTTTAATAATTGTGATATAAGAAGTAAATTAAATAGCATCAGGTGAACTGCACGTCACCTCGTACCCTCAACCGCTGCTGTGGTGTTTTGTTTAGAAGTGTAATGAGAGAGAAAACAAAGCTGCAAAAACCTGAGGATTTATTCATTCATTGGACAAAAACAGCATTTACAAACTTTTCAAGACAATGACAAAGAGAAGTGGTCACAGGGGCAGTTTCAAGGAAAGCGGCAAAATACACAAAAACGTGGAATATTATCAAACGTGCCCCATCTGTATTAATCGTTGTGCAAAAGTGCGATTGTTTTGGTCTGTCTGGGTCCTCAAAAGTCCTGAAAGTCTTAAATCTGAATTTAAAATGTGAACAAAACCCCTCTAACCCTTTTCAGAGTCAGTCAAATACTGCTGTCCTCACCTTTGAATAAATCACTGCTGTGTGTTTATTGTATTTACAGTACAGTATATTTATTTAAATGAAGTATCTGACCAACACTTTTACATTTTATAACTCTTACTTTTACTTGTATAACATAAAAACCTGAGTATCTGTTTCTGAGTAATTAATTTACAGTAATTAAACACAAATTTAGAGAGAGATTTTGACAGGGAATTACACTTAAAAGGTGCAAAAATCACAGAGGTAGCCAATTTTCTACGAATCTAAACACAATTTGTCAGTGCTACAATCGATCCTGAACAAACGGCGAGAACAAATAAAGACCCTCCAGCTCTGTTTTCATTATAAAACAACCCTCTTGTGTTTACAGCCACGCTGTGTTTAATTAAACCTGCCGGACGATGGAGACTGTTCGTCTCTCTTCTTCTCTCCTCTGCCGCCGTGAACTCGTTTCCTTCCTGATCTTCTTCATGAGCAGTACGGCCGCGGGGACAGTGGCTAGAGGACACACAAAGACAGAGAAGAAGAAGAAGGAGGACGAGGCGGGTGAGTTTCTGTGACCCTGTGTGGACGCGTTAGTGCACTTTGACATATGGAGGTCGTCGTGTTTCGAGGTGGTGTGATTAGTTTTTTTATTTTAGGACATTCCTGCTGCCTCTCAGACTCAGGGTCCCAAATATGTGAATATTTTTAGAGAGGAAGGGAGTTTTAGGTGTAAAAATGTGCTGTGTCTGACTTTTTCCATATACATCTCATCTTCTTCAAATAACGGCATCTATAAAAATCCTACTCACGACCAAAACCTCTTAGAATTGTGCCCATCAGGACTATATTTTGCAGTTTCTCCCCTTATTCTCCAAATGTCTCTGTGTTTTGAAAAGTAAAAAATGTTGCATCTCACGTCCAGCTCCACTTATCAGCTCCAAAGCACCTTAGTACCAAGATTTCCTTTTCTTAGATTTTAAGCCAGTGGACCAAATAGGATCTTAAAGTCACAAGGCGTCCGTGCAAAGCCAATCTCTGAGCGCTGCAGACCCCCAAGCCCCTGCCCCTCTAACACATCCTGCTTTAACACTGCAGGTTATCAAACAGGCCTGTGCAGCTTCAGCGACTGCACCCAGACACGTTACACTCATGCTAGAAAACTTTTAATTCAAATGAGTGTTTAAACTGCAGCAAACAAACTCACCGACTTTGGCGAGAGAGAAAGATGATTCCAGTCAGCTCAACCCTGGAGTGTCCATATAGTCATATTTGGATGAATATGAAGCCCCGACAAGGAATCCCTGGGGGGGGCAGAAGAACAACTTCTATGTCGGTCCTTCCACACAAACCATCCTGAAGGTAATTTGGATTTCTCACAACAAATACTCACCATGCCAGGGCTGAAAAAACCATTCAAAATACTGTTCAACAAAAAAACACTGTCAACAAAAGGAAAAGAAGCAGATTAGATGTTGGTCTCTCACTGTGTAAAATACACTGAATTTTGAAGACTAATAATTTTATATTGACAGAAAAGGTCTTGTAAACCCTAAAACACTATCGCCGGGTGATTTTCACCCGACCAAACATGTTCACATAATTTTCATGATGTTACGTTTGTCTGAGCATCATGAGTCTCTGGGTATCTTCAGCATTTCCTTTTACATCTTTGAAGGCATATTTCTTTCCCTGATTCAAAACCTGCTTTTTCCTACAGGGTGTTCACCCTGTATAGTGATAGAGGGTAACTAGGTTTGGGTGGATTTGATAGCTGCATGTTGGCGAATAAGGTCAGTAAGAGTGGCCCTGGAATTTGCATGATATCTTTATTTAGTGCAGTGGTTATGAATATTTTCAAGGGAATTCATATGGTGATAAGAAATATTTGAGTCAGCTGGTCATTTTTACTCATTACAAATCTGCATGTTTTGGTTCTCTCTCCTGCAGCTGACTCAAGACCCAAGACTCAAATGTCCCAGGAATGGATGGAAAAGAAACTAAGTTTACAGTTTCTATATATATTTATTTTTTTAAGGAATTTCTTGTTCATGAATGTCTAATTTCAGTTGTTTTGTTGCATGTTTATATTGTCCCCTCATGGCACTTTTCCCCCTCCCTTTGGATATAGCACAGTTAAAAATAAAAGAAAACTACTTTAATTTGTCATATTATTTCAGGAAAAAATCACCCGGCGATAGTGATAGTGTAACTAATTTTAGTGTTCTAGGGTTAGAATTGATAAATGTTCATTAGCTTTTTGTGGCCTTATTACAATCATTATGAACTGTCTAAGTGAACGTATTTACCTGATTAAAGCTACCATGATCAGGGTGAGGAAGACTACTTTGAGCTGACGGTTAAAGTTGGCCTCACTATCGATGATGAACCAGCAGTTGCAGTTCATGTTTTTAACCACACGGTGGAGCTCGAAGCCCTCCGGCTTTGACCGGCAGGGCGGCTGACTGCATGTAGAAGAAGAAGAGAGAGTAACGGCTCGATTTAAATCTCAAACTTTCACTTCTGAGGTTTTCAGGTCGTCGAGTAAAACACGTAAAAGCTTCACAGTGGAGTTAACTTTACATTTAGGCGACATTCACAGAAACAGCTACATGTTTTAATGTGCTATATTACAGAAAATAACGAGTATTTAAACCAGATATGACCGTTAAAACAGACCTTTGTTCGGCATTTGGGGTCCCTTCAGCTTCTTTGCCGAGCTCAAAATACTCCATTCAGTAGATTACAATCCACCGTGTTTCCTTCAAAGCTGCTTAATCTGTTTTACGTTTGAGAAACAGCACAGGAATGTTTGCTGTTCCTGTAAAATGAAGGACTTCCTCATTGACTGTACAGGCTTTGACGGGAAGTTTCTGCCCACATAAAACGGGGAGGAGGAAGAAAAGTGCCAGTCAAGAGGACACTCAGGTAACAAAGCTTTCAAAGTGGTTAAAATAAAGTGTAAAATGTGTGAATTTACCTGAAGAGTTCAAAGTGAAGGTTATTCTTTGTCAGGGAAGCTTGAATCCATAAAAAAGTGTACACAATACTTTATATGACAGACAATGAAATGAAGGTGGAGAGTCATAAATAACTCAGATCCCTGGATGGTAATGAAGAAAGGCCGTAAACCCAGCTCTCTAAAACATGTCCACCAAAGCATAAATCAGGTCTATAAAGCTGTGTTTAAATATTCTTTTTATCTCTTTCAACTCTTCTTCATCTTATATTTTAGATCTTTTTTTAATAAATACTGAACATGTTATTTAACAGTTGGTTAATGCTGATTAATGTGTGGTTTATTTGAATGGTAGTTGGTTCTCATTAAACAGAATCATGTGAATCTTACTAAATATTAATTGTTATAATTATAAATTGAATATGTTGAGTTTCGTTGGACATGTATTAACCTTGATGTACGCATTTTATTTTGTTGTGTAGCTTTGTTGAACAAAAATCACTATGACAACACACCTGCCTATGTAAAGCTGGACAAAGCAACATTATTATTGATCTTATATAAATTTATCATATCAACATTAGGTATTTTAGCAGTATGAATATATCTTTGAGCTTCAGAGGGGTGATGAGTAAGTATTAACTGGTGTTATCAAGAATGTAATACTATTCAAAAACATGACTGGAGTAATAAAATAAAGCAGCTGCCAGAAATGACCATGTCTACCTAAAGGTCTCTGGGTACCCCCGTGCTTTTTAGGATAGCCGTGTTATTTCTACCCTGATGTCCAGATGTCCTCGGTGACGACTCAGCGTTGGTTGTCTGCAGGGTTCAAAACCTTGACCTTGACCTCACTGCAACGTCACAAGTTCAGTCCCAGCTGCCACGGGGTCGTCAAGGGCAGGTCTTTCTCTGTCGTTGCTCTCTTAGATGCAAAAAGAAAGTTTAGCTGTGATAGCTGAGGTCAGGAAAAATCAGGTTTACTGTTTCAAGATCAGCATCCAACAGTTAGGAGAAAACTAAATGAATCAGATTTAAAACTGCGCAGCACCAACCTCCTTAAACGTTGGTTATTTATTCAACCCCTGCATTAGGTGGCAAGTGATTTTCATATTAACATGCAATTTACTTGAATTGCACAATAATTGATTTCAATTTTTAGTGGATTAAAATATATGATCAAAATGTTTAATTTGTTCATAGATGAAGATATAAGGGTGTATTGTTATGGCTGCTGCAATCACAATCAAGAGGCCACATCTAATACTGAACATAAAAACATTTAGGGGAATAAAAACTCATAAAAATACTGAAAAAACTTTCTAAAAGGGGCTAAAACTTACAACTCAAGCATTAAAAGATATTTTAGAAATGAAACAAAAATGCAGTATGAGGAAAATTGGACTTTTAATGTAATAAAAATATGAACTGCTCAAAAAGGATGAATAAACAGTGCAGCCTGCATGAATAAATGTACAAATACCAGCATTAAGCCTGTATATTTGTGTTTTTATTCCTCCTGTCCTTGATTTTTTTTCTAGTTAGATATTTCCTTTAGTCCTCAACATTCATCTTTCAGACTTCATTGAAGGGCTGCAACAATTGATGCATCGTTTCTACTTTATTTTCAGGTAGTTTAAACTCTTTTTAAAGTGATACTTTTATAAAGCAAACCTCTCAGGGTTCCAGCTCCAGCTCCTTAAAGAGATACTACGATGGTGCAGTAAAAATGCTGTAAAGCAAGTGAACTGAGGATGCTAATCTGAGCTGTATGACACACTGAAGATCAAGTGATAAATGTAGTTCTTGTAACAATAATCCGGAAGTAGTTTGGTGATTGATCTTATACAAATCTGCTGCAAAAAAAGGACAAGATGTTGGTTTAGGTACAGGAGGACAAAGAAAGTTTTGCAATGGCCTGATGAAGACCATCAAGTTCGAATGTTGTGATCGTTCAACTTTATATTTGCATCAAGTGTTGTAGGGAAAATAATCGTGGTTTTAACGTCGTGTTTGTCTGGTTCATTTTCTCCTTTTAAGATTTTTTTTTGTTTCACCTTTAATGACGCTAACAATGTCGGTTTCCCCTGCTTGTCCTCCATCTTTCACCTTAATATAACTTTTATTAGACGGGGAGGAGGAATCACTCTCCCAGATGCTGCTGTGAGCTGAGCTTCATCACCTGCTGCTGCTGCTGCTGCCCATACACACACTCACATGCACACTAAACACACACACCCATACAGATGCCCCCCTTTTCTGGGTTGCAGTCTCAACTCCGTCGCCATGGAAACAGCTAAGATGCCGTGTGCTGGAGAAGTAAAAATGGGTGTGTGTGTGTGTGTGTTTAGCCAGTGAAGGTATAGAGAAATCTTCTGAAGGACACATATAGATTAAAGGTGAGTGTGTTTTATTGACGCTGTTTATGAATCCCACACACATCTCCTTTTTTTTACCCCGACACGCAAAAATCTTCCACTTTTCTGCGACTTCTTAGACGTTTTTCCTCACTCTTTTCACCTCTCCTCTTTGACAGCCTCCTCCTCTCTTTTTGTTTCCTCTTGCTCACCTGCTCGCTGAGACCCTTTAGTCGCACACATTCACTTTGAGCACCTTACATTTCAATGACAGCCTAAAAATATTTTTTTTTTCGCTGTAAGTGACCCCCAGAGGGAATCAAGCATCCTAAACGCCTGCCTACTCTCTCTCTCCATCTCTGTCTCTCTCTCTCTCTCTCACCCTTTTCTTTCTCCTCTCTAAATAGCCAGATGGGCCAGAGCTTCTTTTATTCTGGAGGCCCGGTGCACGTGCCGAGGACACAGGGCCTCACAGCGTTTAATTCACAAGCTTTAGACACCCCCTTCTTTTAACCCCCCGTGACCAACAGCATCACCCACCTCCCTCTCCGACTCCACTCACTCTCACTCTGTATTTTGTCCCTCCTGGCCTCCACTATTCTAGTCGACTCTATTATCTCTTCCTCAATTACACTCTTCTTGCCTCTGCTTTGTCCTTTTTATTGTCAAGTTTCTTGTCATCTTTATTTTTTTATATGATCTTCTCTCTATCATAAGATCTTTTTTTATTATCTTCTTTGCCAAACCTGCTCCACTCCCTCTTGTATTTTCTTAACTTCCACACAAGAAGGTGTCACTTTGCGTATCATATTTTATCTCCTATAATACCTCACACATAAGGTTGACTCTAGTTTTTCTGTGACATGCTGTTTTTATCTGCTACTTTTCCAATACAAAGTCCAAGACAATTGAAAAATTTGACAAGAGGATCAAATCTTCTGATGGGTTTGGAGGTAAGAGCGCAAAAGCAGCTTTTTAAAAAGTTTTTGTTTATTTTCAGAGACAAAATACTTAAAAAATACTTATTCAAAAAGTTAAAAGATTTGTATTTTTAAACTTGTACTTTGTCTTTCTGATCACTCAAAGTGCTTTTACTCACGCTGATTGCAGAGGCTGCTAAAGTAGGAGACCACCAGTGTGTCCATTCACATGCATTAACACTCAACTGACAGGGTCACAGAGAGCAAGCTGGAGTTCACCGTCTTGCCCGAGGACACTTTGGTACGTGACTGCAAGAGCTGGGATCAAACCGACAACCTTGCAACTGAGAGATTACCTACTCATGCATCAGCCCCCAAAAGGCTCTGAAAGGTACTTTAACCCCCAACACATACAGTGGAATACTGCAGTAACTCATGTTCACAGATGATGGTCATTATTATGCAGAAATAAAATGAAAGTGTATGCTTATTTTCAAACCAGATTTCAGTTTTAATGCCCTTAAACCCTGAAGAATAAACTGTTTATCCCCCATTGAAAAAGTGCTGCAAATACACAGATATTGTTTTTTCATTTTACAGATGGAGAACATGGTGGAGGGGAGGGGGGGGGCACAAGTCCAAGCCGAGTGCTGGTTGAACTGCAGCCTGCAGGCTCGTTTGACCTCCTCCTCCTCCTCCTTCTCCTCCTCTTCCTCACACAGAGCACATGAATCTGACAGAGAGATGCTTCAGCTTCCATCCCTCTCACACACATTGACCTTAGACACAGTGACTGATGTTTAAAAACAGGCCTTTTACCAGCTGAGCGCCTGCCTTAAAGGGCTGAACTGGGTTAATTGATCAAATAAAAGAGCATTAATTACATTATAACTTCTGCTTTGCATTTTGATATTTCAAGTGATGAACATTTTTGGTTTTCAGCCATTTCTAACACACAAAAAATAGACTTTTGTGTCTGCTCTAAACCTCCACACTCTAAGCCCCACATTCAGACTTTCGTCCCTTTCATTGAAAAGCTGCTGGGTCGCCCAGAAGAAACGGGAATATTTAGTGCAGTCTGAGTCTAATTGTTATCGAATCTGCTCGGCGTTTATTCGGGATTATTCGGGTTAACGCGGAAATAATGAGGTTGCCGATCCCAAAGCAGTGTTGAGCGGTCACAGGCAGATCGATGAACACACTGAGTTAATTATGAGAAATCAATTAAAAGGAGGGAGAGGAGGAACCTGCCGGCAAAGGACCAGGGAAGTGATTCCTCTCTCTCTTTCTCTCTCTCTTGTGTTTAAATATGAAGAAAGATTCATGCTTCCTCGTCTTTTTCCAATATGAGCTCTTTTCTGTTAAACGGATGATCCATAATTTCCACGTGCTCAAACACTCACACACACTTCCCTCCTGAGTCTCATCCCACTAACAGCTGATCATCACACACACACACACACACGGCGTGAAATCTGCAGCCCACCTGAATCCTGCACGAGCTAATTGATCCATCTCCTAAACCCTGTTCTTTATCAGTGATGAGCAGCTTAATGACATGCGCAGTTGCACACCTGTGCGTCAACGATATTTACGTTTTAAACACATTTCGAGGTCAAAGTAGGTCATATTTGTAAGTTTAAGTTATTTTACTCAAGTAGACAATTTTAAAGACAAAGTTGACCTCTTACCTTTTTCATTTTAGCTGCAGAAAACTCCTTAACGTTAGTGTCACAAATATATTTTATATTAAATTAAAATAAATAAAACTACGTCAAAAATATTATTTTCATATGGGCCGTTTTTGCTTCACAGTTTCGCGTTTTTACCTCATTTTTTTTGCCGAGGAATTGACCGTGGATGAACAGGTAGGGGATTTAATTCATTTACATTATAATAACGCTTTCTTTTAAACTATTAATTGTATATTTAGTGCAGGCAAATGCGCATCTATCATCCCCTCTGAGTCTATAGTTGAAAGAATATTTTACCTTCATCATTTAAAAACTTTTACTTGTTTTGAAGTTTTTCATATTAATTTGATCAGCCTTTTTTAAAGAGTGATAGTTTTCGTTTTGGCAATATAAATGAAGTAATCTTATGTCAAATTTGTCCAAAAAGCACCAAGCATGGCGTTTATGCCTTTATTTGAATATTTTTGCGTATATGCAAATAAGCCAGATTTGGAGAAAATGCGTGAATTTTCTGCCTGTAATGACAAATCTCACATCGTAATCAATAATGCGTATCGTATTTATTCATTCTTGACGTGTTTCTGTTGATTTTAGTTGAATTTAGATTTATGCATCGGATGCAAATGGCCTGCTGAGGGAGCGCTGGAGGAGCAGAAAGAGAGTTTATTAATTTGAGAGTGAAAAAGAGAAAAACCAGGAGAGAAAAATATTTAACGTTCAACAGTAAAGTGAAAGTAAACGAAATTAGAAAGATGAATACATTATCTCAAAGAAAAGGGAATATATTTCAATGTAAAGGCCAACCAAGAAAGTCGTTTTACTCGCATTTTTACAATTTCCAGTTTTCTAATTTTCTTTGCAAAAATAAAAATAAATGTAGGTCATATGTATGAGCTCCAGATATTTTACTACAAATGAAATAAACTGAATATAAAACATCTATAACCTCCAGTGAAAACTTATCATACTTAAAATCCAATGTCTTTAAAATCTGTGTTTTTCATCCAGCGAGTTTCCATCTAAAGTGGAACTATTTTACTTCAATGTAGCCTAAATTAGACCTATTGATAAATCACTAAAATCATACCTGGAGTCACGTGTTTCCTGATGTGTAGGAGGGGGTTTTACAACTTCCTAGACAGTACCACAAGGTTTTACAGTCTCTTCATTTATTTACTACTTAACTTGTAAATATTCATGATGCTATTTTAGAGTTTAAAGGTTGGTTTCTGAAACTGAAAGCAGACTCAAAACGACTCATAACAAAACCAAGGGCCAAATTTAAATCAGAGGAGTGTGTATTTATGCGTAGATAACATAAGAAAATACAAAAGCAGTCAATAAATAAATAAACACTTTTTTTTTGAAAATATAATCAGCGGAGGTTTTTTGAAACCGTGTCACTACTCTTCTATCTCGTAAACGCCCGTAGAGTCTGTGTAACAAACCTCGTTATTGTCCACGGACCATTATGTGATTATTTGGTGAAGTCTGCGGCTGCTCGCCTTTATTACTGACTGATTACCTTTTTCATCAGTGTGCAGGGAGCGTCTGTCACCGCGGCCCCCTCCAGCCAGACTGCTCCTACCCTGACCCAGGGGCCAGAGGTCAGCCGGCCAACTCAGCCATCATCACCGCAGCTCATCAGCTCCTCCCCGCTAACACCAGCAGCACCCAGCACGGTTTTAGTTATGGGTGAGTAGCCTCGAGGCCTCCGTATAAACTCCTTATTGTCTTGCTATCCCTGAAACAGTCTGAAACACGGTGTTCCGTCGAGTACTGTTGTAAATCAAATGTATTAAAGTGAAGCTAAACGTCGAATTTCGTGTCAGTTACTTTGGTATCCCTCCGCCTAATGAGAGATCGTTGTAGAATAGTGTGGTTGCTAGGAGACTCATTAGCAAGCTAGCTCGATGTTTCAACGTTTAATTTAACCGAAACTTTCCCCGTGTATTTAACTTAAATTCATCATTAAATACCGAAATTGTGTCGTTAGTTTCTGTGTCAAAAACTCGGTTTATTTCAAGAGGCAGAACGTGGTGTGTTTAGGTCAAGGTTATCATTAACAATAGCAAAGGTAGAATTCTGTTAGCCTCATAATCAACCGTTATAGCTTAATAACTGACTCCCTCTTATACGGACGATACTTCATGGTTATTTCCAGTCCAGCACTGTTAAATGGATGTAATTCAGCCTAATTATGCTATTCTCTATGTCTAAATCAACCTAATCTGACATATTGTCACCACAGCAACAGCCATAAGGACAAGATACTACATTAAATACCATATAAATAAAACTTACATTTTAAGTGCTATTCTTTGACTACAAATTGAGTAAACCAAACAGCCTAAGTTGCAGTTTTAACCTTAACTTATAAACTTATATATTATTGTATCTTTATTATGCACTTGTTTAATAAAAAAGAGAAATGTCTAGTCTTCTTTTGCAATCGTTGTGTTTCGGTCAAGGTTATCATTAACAATAGCAGAGGTAGAATTCTGCTAACCACATAATCGACCGTTAAACCTAACAACTGACTCCCTCCTTATCTGACCGATACTTCATGGTTATATCAGGTCCAGCACTGTTGAACGGATGTAATTCAGTCTAATTAAGCTATTCTATATGTTTAAGTCACCCTAATCTGACATATTGTTACTATCTAGTAGGACTATAGCCTGGGGCTTTACTGTAGACTGCACCTGAATGTAAAAGACAGAATAATTCACAAAACTGCACAGCTATTCATCAAAATACTATATAAATCAAACTAATTGAAATAATTTTTTGTTGTTACATTTTAAGTGCTATTCTTTGACTCCAAATTAAGTAAACCAAACAACCTAAGCTGCAATTTTAGCCTTTACTAATAAACTAGTATATTCTTGTATCTTCATTATACAATTGTTTCATAAAAAGAGAAATGTCTAGTCCTCTTTGGCAATCATTGTGTTTACATTAAGGCACAAAAGAGTTATACTTACCCAATTAGTTTACAGACTAACTCTGAATATTCATAAGTATACATAAAAACAGATAATTATCGACTATTTAAGGAATGCATCTTCATCAGAATGCTGTGACAGGAAAGTTGTGCAGCTCAGCTCAAACCGAGGGCTAAATAATGATGTTTCTTCCGTTGCTCCGTGGAAAATAAGGATCAGGACTGTCCAGCCGCTGATAAGAAAGAAAAGCCCCCCACATATAGACCTGCTCCTACCCCCTGTGGCTCACTGTCATCGCTGTGTAACTCAGAAGTCTGAAACGAATTAACTCCAAATTAACTGATAAGATCGGCGGGTATATTTTTAATTTGTGCTCGACATTTTACTGTATCAAAAACTGTGCCATCAGCAAAAAAAGAGACAACCATCCGAGCAGATAAATGTGAAATCCAAATCTTTTCAATCCGTGTACCTAATTCCTTTTTTTTTTATACATCAAGTGGCGCCCTGAAAACATCTGATTTATGAACCTCAAAATAATTAACCACAATCATAACACTCATTGCATATTGACTCCTGTTGTTGCATGTATTGACATCTGTGTAAACCTCACAGTAGTCGACGTTTGACCAGCGTTCCTCAATAAATAGTGGAAATGAAGCTTGGGAGGTCGGAGAAACAGTAACTCCCCTGGATTGATTTCCAATAATCTGGTCATCGCCCGTCTGATCCGCAGGATGCAGGCTGCGGGGAATTGTCGGCTCTTGTCCTTCTGGCTGTTGCTGTGGTGACCGGTGTGGAGATAATAGCAGTTAATGAGATATTAACCCCGCGTAAGGAAGGAGAGAGGAAGTGATGGAAAGACTAAAGACTGGATCCGTCGATTGATGACCCCGGATCAATATTGTTCTGTTATTCGCCGTCAGTAACAAGGAGCGTGACGCCATCCCTTTGAGACTTAGGAGGTAAATCCAATTTCTGTGTATGGACACACACACACAGGCGGTTAACCACACATATAACAACATGCACTGACAAACACAAGGACATATAAATATAGAAAAAAAACACCCCAAACACTGACGAAGACACAGATACACAGGTTCACTTTTTCCAAGAGCAAAATCACACACGGACAAACACAGCACGGCTGCACGGTTGGCTCTTTGTCCAGCTGGTTAGGATGCAAGCAAGCGATCGTGCCCTCGGG